GGTATCATAAAATTTCAAACGTATATTTATACAGTATGATGCGTGGAATCCATTGGCATCATCATAAATTTTATACAGGGTGACGTTGAAAAGATATGGCAGCCAATTATGTTTTTTCTAATGGAACACCCCGTATATTTTGGCACAGTTGAATAGTCCCAGGCGTTCTCATTACAAATATATATATAACCCTACCTTTTCCTTCCACAATTTCAGATATATTCGCAAAAATATAGTCAGTGTGTCACATTTCTTATGGTTACACCCCCGTATCTTCTGTAAAAATAATTGAGGTAGGATTAAAAAATTCGCAACTGTCAGAAAGATACAAATGATACACTCATGGAGTCATGGACCAAGTGGGATCATCTCCAATGAGAACACTGCTCGCCAGCAGCTATGGAATCATCGATATTTCTGGATAATGCTATCAACAGGCAGAATCGAGGTTGAAAATGACACTCTGTATATATTCACCAAATGTGGAAAATAAATATCATAGGGAATATAATTTCCAGATAAATGGATATTTGGTGAGAAATAAAATGGGAAATTATTCGATTTGATATCATTGTTAACAAGACATTTGAGATACAGAAATTATACCAATAATTTACTCAATTAGGAAATCAGTAGGTTGCGTTGAAAAATATAGCCTTATAGAAGATTCAAATTCCAGATACAGAACAATTTTTTTAATGGAGAGCTGGTAGAGCTGGAAAGTTCCCGTTTCAATTTCAAATATATATCTTATTTATTATCTCTTTGAACGCAAAAATATTAAGGCATACTAGAAATAATGGGTGAAGTATCATATTCAGGCATTCTGCCACAAAATATTAGGATTGTTAATGTTTCCATCAATTATTCTTACAGAAGATACGGGGGTGCAACCATAAGAAATGTGACACACTGAATATATTTTTGCGAATATATCTGAAATTGTGGAAGGAAAAGGTAGGATTATATATATATATATATATATTTGTAATGAGAACGCCTGGGACTATTCAACTGTGCCAAAATTGAGGGGTGTTCCATTAGAAAAAACATAATTGGCTGCCGTATTTTCTCAACGTCACCCTGTATAAAATTTATGATGATGCCAATGGATTCCACGCATCATACTGTATAAATATACGTTTGAAATTTTTTGATACCTCTCACCGTAAAGTAGTTAGAAAATAAAATCGAAATCGGCAAATTTTCAATTTGCCCCTGTATCTCTTAAACGAATGGAGATATCGAAATTTTGATTGTACCATTCGAGGTTTCTCCAAAATCGAACCCGGAACATGTATATCGGTTTTTCGATAACTCCTCTAGTTATTGAGATAGACGGTGAAAACGCCCAATTTTGCCCACCCTGTACTTTTCTCTCAGATCTTCATTTGTTTATGGGTGTGTTATTCATCAATTATTGTCGTTGATATCTCTTATTTGCAATTTCATATAGTTTATACAGTCTATTGTCGTAAATCAGTATTAGTCTAAGAGCCCGTGAACCTTTTATACAGGGTGTTTCATAATTGAATGCTGTTCCTAAAGGGCGATGATCCTTGGATGATTTTAAGGAGAGAAGTTCATATCAACATATGTCCTGAACCTCTTAGTTTTTGAGCTACAGGTTGTTGAAATCAGAAGCGTACAGCGTTTTTTCAAACAAAACATTCAATATCAGATCTACGAGGACATCACTGGTGAAAGTAAAAGTTTGATTTTCGTCTCAAAATTCAAGTGTGAACTGAAGAAATATATTTTATCAATTTAACTCTCCCCTTGTATCAATTAATTCTGATTGAACTGTTTATCTTTCATTGTATTGCATATTTGATTTTATTTTATTTTTTTTTGTTGTTTCCCTCTATAAACATTGTATGTTTCTTGGGATCAATAAATGTTATTATTATTACTTATAGTGGGTGTCTTACTGAATTACCAAAAACAATATCCAAGAACTGACGGAACAAAATTCGTTGGTTATTTTTTTATGCGAGAACGGTACGTTGTATGAAAGTAAGTCTAGTAACCAAATTTGCTCCAAAATGAATGAGAATTGAAAAAAAATCTGGTTCTCTGAAAAATCAGTGGCGTACTATTTTTTTCTTCAACAATTGTCAGTTCAAACCCCGTAAATATCTCTCACATAAAAAAATGCTCCTTAATAATGAAAAGGTGTATACAAAATATCATAACAATATCTAAGAGTGATAAAAAATTATGATGAAAAACTCATTATTTTCTTGAAATTTCATCACCCTGTAGCTCAATAACAAAGAGGTTTACGACATATGTTGATATGAACTTTTCTCTTTGAAATCATCCAAGGATTATCGCCCTTAAGGATCAGCATTCAATTATGAAACACCCTGTATAACAGTTTTTCTGTAAGGCTAGAGATTTCTAAAGTGATGGATCAAAGGCTGTTAAGTACGAAAACCATGACCTGGCAGGCCTCACCCTTGCACGTCACCATCCCCCATATGTTTCAAAGTGTAAGAATAATTGAAAAAAAAATTAACTTTGCGCTGTAAACTTTCAATTTTATTATGATCCTATTTAGGTATTTCAGAATATAGAAAAAAATTGACAGGCGATTCTGATGAGCAGAAGTAGGTGCCAGGCGAGTCCAAAAGTGCGCAAAAGAGGACTGAAAATAAACTTCGCTCTGTAAAATTGAAATTCACACACATGTTCAACTAAGGTATTTAGAGCATACCTATGCAATGACAGGCGATTCTGGCCAGCAGAAGAAATCAATTTTTTTTTTCAATTGCATTTCCTCGTTGGACCGTTACCACCGATACAACAAGGCCAGCAGATTCTGACGTAAACAGCTCGTGACGTCACCAAGAGAGGCCAGTGTTTTATTTTATCGCTTGTCGACTAACGCCAACGCGTCAGTTCGTGTTAATTCATCGGTGATTCACGTATGTTTTTGAAACGGTCCCGAATTCTTTTGTTGTTTATTCATCAAAATAATTTTACTGTTTTCTGAAATATTTTGTGTTGTGATCGGAGAAATAACAATGCCTTTCAAGTGTTGTGTTCCCTTTTGTCGGGGGAATTATGTGGGTGGTTCAAAAGTTCATGCTTTTAGTTTCCCGTTGGACGAGGAGCTATCGAAAATGTGGGTATATGCAATTCACCGCGAGGATTTTACTCCATCTAAGTTCAGTAGTAAACAGAGCTTAATTTATAATGATGAATTAATAATAGAAGACAATAACTCTCTCATAAAAAGTATAAGTAGAGGAAAAATAGAAAAGCTTTGATTGTGCAGTTAGTTTTGTATTCGTATATTATAGTCAACAAAATCATCTCTGATCTCGAGGAAATTTTCTTGAATGTTCATAATAAACGGGCATTTTTAATTCTCATTCTCGAATTTCTTTCTGAAAACGGTCATTTGCCTCGTGGCAATGAATGCAGAATTCATTCCAATGATCAAATTGCAACTATCATATTAACATACAAATACTCTACTTAAAAAGGTAAAACTGCATTCATCATGATATTTATCATGAAGATATTTCACAGGAAGGAAGGAATGCTCGAAGTCATCTCTCTATGAAGATATTTGACTAAAAAGTTCCAAATTTCACCTTCTTTTTCACCTGTCTTCTGGATGGCATTTAGAACAAATTTCCCTTCTTTTTTCATCATATTGGACAATTTATATATAATTCAACTATAAATATGATTTTCTTGAGATTAATCCATATTTAGTTAAAAGAAGGAAGAATATCATTCAAAATAATGGCGTGTGTAATGTCATTCGAAAGCAATCTATTGACATTTGACATTTCGTATTTTGATTGACTATTGATTAAATGGTCGTCATCTGGAATGCTTGTTCACTAAATATGAAAAACTCGCCATGAAAATCATATTTCCTGTTGAATTTTCTGTATAAAAATGTGCCATCGAAGTACATTATGAGTATATAAAGTGTCAAATGACAAAATAAGAGCAAGTAGCTTCAAATGCCCCCAACACAAGGGGAGAAAGAAGGCGAAATTTCGAACTTTTTCTTGAAATATCTCAATAAATAGTGGTTTGTTCACATTTTCATTATAAAATTCGGTTTATCAGACAAAAATACGTAAGTACCGAAAAAAATTTTCAAAAAAAAACCGTCGCATGATAAATGCAGTTTTACTCTTAAAAATTACGGTTTCAAGTGTAACGATCCACTTGGGTGAAAAATCCAACAACAGAAAATTGAAAACACTCACTGGTTATTTTCTCAGGTAATAGGAATTCTACAAGATAAATATAGGTAATTGTAACAAACGGCATGTCAATCAAAATAAAATACATTTTCCACAATTTTCTTTCGATCAATCCCACGATATGTTTATGTTCTGCGGGCCCTGTATAAGTAGGTGTGAAGTTTACCTTCACCACAATTTTTGCCAATATATTCAATTCGAATGGGTTGCTGTAGGTGGATATTTGTGTTTTATCCTGGTTTTTGCTTTAAAACTTCGTTTTTCCATAATAAAATCGAATGGGGTGCGAAGAAGGGCTCAGTTGACTACTGGCATCCTTTTTAACCAGAAGCCCTTCAAAAAACAGCAAAATCGGCTCAATGATGATCTAAAACTAAAATCGAAATACGCGGTCGCCTTATAGCGCTATAAGCGCTTGTCGTTTCGAGCCGCTGGTTAGGCCTCACTAAGTGACGTCACCCACGGAGCATGCAGGCCTTGTTGTATCGGTGGTAACGGTTGGACCCAGCACTGGATCCAATGCCCCATAAGTCGAAAGTTGTGCGGGGTTAGGAAAGCATACATTTACAAACATCCATGGCCTAACTGGGGTTCGAACCCATGCCTCGGTGGGAGTCCCCATACGAACTCAGCGCCTTCGCGCTCTCGACCACCGGGCCGCCTATCGAATAATTTGCCATTCTTGGGAAAAATCGACAAATATAGAGGATATCCAATACTAATGTGTTACTCAATGTTACTTTGTAAAACAATTATGTCACTTACCTCCTTGCTGTTCAATTCTTTTACTTTCCCTAGCGGCCGCCCTCTGTTCGGCCAGTACGCAAATCTCCCCCAACGACTTCACTTGTGCTTCGGTTAGACCGTTCGTCAGTGCGTTATACCAATCGGGATCCTGATTTTGTAGAGCTACAAAACAAACCAAAAAACAAATAACGATCGCCATTGCGATTATTTTTTTATCGACACATTGTTTTTCAGGTGGTAGGAAATGATATAGGTATCAAGTAGTAAAATTGTGAAGTGATAGTACATTAGGATCAAGTCACAATTTATTTGACAAGCGAAAGTTTTTGCGTCAAACAAGGTCACTTGTTATTTTTCTCCTACCAAGAGAATTGAAAATGAAATCAAACATGGAAATATCAAAACCCGAGATTGTCACCTTTGGCATGACTTTGGTTTTCTTCATCTATGAACGACACCACTCCACTTTGAGTTACCATGGACTTCTTCCAAAGATACCCCATTATACAGTGTGTCCCACTTACCATGCTCACCATGGGTATCTTTTTAACGGTGAGAGATACGAGGTCGGTTGAATGACACCAAATGTGGAGTTTGTCAAGGCCAACAATAATGTGAACAAATATTTTGATAAAATCTATTCGTTTTTGTTTTATACGCAAAAAACATATTTTGATCATTTCCATGTCTCCTCCATAACTTCTTTATTTATGAAAATATTCAAATAGGAATTTCACATTCTCATGGCAGTTTTTCAAAGTGATTTCGAAAAAAATATGAAATTTATACCAACTCTTCTAGAATTTGAAATATCAGCACCAACTTTAGTTTTTCAAATGTAGGTCATAGCTCACTATGTCTTGGTTACAACTAACTTTTTTTCTTTTACAGATGATATGTCGCAGTTATAGTTTTGTGTTGATAACAACGGAGTTATCGGCATTTATACAAAAACAAACAATTATTTGGAAGCCGCCATCTTGAATTTATAAATTTTAACAAAAAAATCATGATCTCCGGCCTCAAAAACCCCCACTTACCAATTATGAAATGAATCGGACCAAATCTTGTCCGCCATCTTGGAGCAGCCATTTTTTTTAATTACAACAAAAATTCCATAACTCCGATTAACTTGAAATTTGGCAGGTGTTCATAATTTCGGTAACAATACATTATGGAATTTTTGTTCAAATTAAAAAAAAAGGCTGCTCCAAGATGGCGGACAAGATTTGGTCCGATTCCATTCAAAATTGATAAGTGGGGGTTTTTGAGGTCGGAGATCATGATTTTTTTGTTAAAATTTATAAATTCAAGATGGCGGCTTCCAAATAATTGTTTGTTTTTGTATAAATGACGATAACTCCGTTGTTATCAGCACAAAACTATAACTGCGACATATCATCTGTAAAAGAAAAAAAGTTTTTTCTGTGACGGGAAAAAAGTTTGGCATTTCATCTCTGTTGGCAGGTTATAAAATGTCACTTTTCATAAATTACTTTTTTCCCGTGGGAAAAAAGTGAGTACTTCTTTCCCGGATATATATCACATATATATACTCTGTTAATGGCTTTTGTTGTGCTATAGTACCGAAAAATAAGTAAATAATACCGTCTCCGAGAAAGAACTGCAAGTCCTTTTATCTTCCATTCGACTTCGCGGTTTCGTATATTACTAAACAACTACTGAATTCGCAATTTTTCAAAATCGAATCACAGAATTGAACTGACAGAAGTGACATCAGATATTTGATTACTTCAAAAGAATGATAAAGATGTCTATAAAACGCAGGTGTCCCTACTGTTAAAAACTTGAAATTTCACGTCGATAATTTTCAGATTTCGAAATAATGTAATATCTTCTCAATATTGATTCGTCCTTCCTTCTGTCACAGAAAAAAATAGTGTATTATACACGGGAAAAATATTAGATTTTAGCTCACGGTTTGTTGTCTCCCTCCGCTACGCGTCGGGAGACAACACAACCTGGAGCTAAAATCTACTACTTTTTTCCCTTGTATAATAAATAACTATTATTGTAACTAGGTCATAGTTAACTATGACCTACATTTGAAAAACTGAAGTTGGTGCTGATATCTCAAATTCTAGAAGAGTTGGTATAAATTTCATATTTTTTTTGAAAGAAAAATCACTTTGAAAAACTGCCATGAGGATGTGAAATTCCTATTTGAATATTTTCATAAATAAAGAAGTTACGGAGGAGACATGAAATTGATCAAAATCTGTTTTTTGCGTATAAAACAAAAACGAATAGATTTTATCGAAATATTTTTTCACATTATAGTTGGCCTTGACAAACTCCACATTTGGTGTCATTTAACTGACCTCGTATCTCTCACCGTTAAAAAGATACCCATGGTGAGCATGGTAAGTGGGACACACTGTATGCCTTCTTTGTATTCCTTACAGGATGACACCTAATTCTCAATGACAATATACAGGGGGTGCCATTTGAAAATAAAAAGTGGGGGCTAGCTGCCAGAGAACTGTCAGATGTATTTGATTTTTTATGTCATTAGGAAAGTACTTCAATGCCATTCAATGCAGTTTGTGAATTTTTCAATTATCTTGTCAAACAAGCGAGATATTGCCTGTATACGATAACTTGGGACACCCTGTATATCCAGGAAAGAAGTACTCACTTTTTTCCCGTGGAAAAAAAAGTTATTTATGAAAAGTGACGATATTTTTTAACCTGACAACAGAGATGAAATTTCAAACTTTTTTCCGTCACAGAAGAAATATACCGGGTGTCCCAGATTTTTCTCATATATAATACCACAAGTGATAATATTTTGCCGGAAATATTCGGTGATTGTTACGACAGCTTGTTGCCTAGTAATTTCGTGAATGACATTGTTATCAAAACTACGAGCCGTAGGAAAAATAGTATCACGAGTTGTATTCGTATGACTATTTCATGATTGAATAAGACAATATATATAAGAAATAGGAAACATAATTTAAGTATATTCCAACTCGAACTGCAAAGAAGAACATAATGATAGTAATGAAATACAGAATTTACTTTTTTAGAAATTAACTTCCTACTTATAGTTATTCACAAAGTGGAATGTACAATTTTGATGAACAGTATTTTTTTATTACCTTGGAGATGGTTGCTCTCAAAAGAGTGTATACAATTACTATCCAATTCTAACAAGATAAATTGAATTTATGTGACATGGAATAATTAAAAAAAAAAAAATTTCGTCGCCGAGGGCTCCAACCATCGACCTTCGTATCCTGGCGCAACAACCCTAACAGTTGCGCTACACCAGCTAGTAATTATATCAGTCAGTCACAATAACTTGAGTAATTGAAGAAGATTACTTCAAAAAGGAATTTGAATTCTATTATTGTTGTGTCAGACCGTGCAAACTTTTTAAATTACACATGAAACGTCCAGCCAGAATAAAATTCTCTTGCCTTTCGTACGAAATATCTCACTAACGCGAATTATAAGTAAATAAAATAAAGTAGGTACTTTTAGGTTATTGTCTCAGTGGATTTGAATCCAAAGCAATCTTGACCAGACATGATGTCAAAATTTTATCGCTGATAAACGAGGTTAGTTGGTCACGTGTGGGTCAATTCGGCTTCTGTATTGGTAGAGCAAGTCCTATAAAATTTAATAAACAAAAAATATCGCTAGAATACAGAAGAAACCATGAAAATGGTCGATTCTGATTGGTTCTCGAAATCAAGAGTGGAATAGTCACAACCAATATCTCGGTTATGCTGCTTGGAAAAAAATTGCAGAGAAAAAAAAATCTGAAAAATCGGAATCGCTCACCGGTCATGACCTGCTTGAACGCCTGGTACTCGTCCACGTCGCAATCCTCGTCGTCCAGCGGCGTCGTGTACGATTCCAGCACCGTCTCCTCGTTGGCCTCGAAGTCGCTGTCGTCGTCATCGTCGTCGGAGCCGTCGACGAGGTCGTTGATGGTCGCCGCGACGCTCATGCCCTGCGGCGCCGCGGCGCTCGTCGCCCGTCTCGACAAGTTCTCCAGGTAGTCTTGACCTTGGTCGTCGAGTTCGTCCTCGTCGGAACTGAGCAGGTCTGAGAGGAGTGTTTTATTTTTAAGAGAGATTGCTATATGTATCTGAATAACAACGAAGAAAATTCAAGGGGCGAGTCCTTGTGACATTTTAGGAAATTTCGAAAATTTTATGAACTACACCTTTTCCAAATGTATTTCAGAAAGCGTCAGTTTAATTTCAGAATAGTCACTTGTATTTCAGAAAGCGTCAATTGTATTTCAGAATAGTCAATTCGACTTCAGAAAGCATCAAATAAATTTCAAAATAGTCACTTGTATTTCAGAAAGCATCAATTGTATTTCAGAATAGTCAATTGAATTACAGAAAGTGTCAATTGTATTTCAGAAAGTATCATTTGAATTTCAGAAAGCGTCACTTGTATTTCAGAAAGCGTCAATTGTATTTCAGAATAGTCAATTCGATTTCAGAAAGCATCAAATAAATTTCAGAATAGTCACTTGTATTTCAGAAAGCATCAATTGTATTTCAGAATAGTCAATTGAATTTCAGAAAGTGTCAATTGTATTTCAGAAAGTATCATTTGAATTTCAGAAAGCGTCAATTCAATTTCAGAAAGCGTCAATTGTATTTCAGAATAGTCAATTGAATTTCAGAAATCGTTCTCTTTAGACTGAAAGTCAGCGACCACCAGACGTCATTTCAACAGGGTCGATAAAATCTTCAGTCCCGGATGGACTTTCAAGAGATACCGAGTGTTGAAAGTACAAAAAAACTGTCAAAAACATCATTTCAACAAAAGCTGATTTTTGTATGCTCAATCGGACTCTATCATGAAAGAGAATATACAATTGCCAGACACTTTCCACTGGGTGTTCTCCTGCCAAACAACTTTAAAAATCGTGAAAGTATCATAGCAATAGAAATAAGTTCATCTCTGATGGTCCCCTATACCTGAAACTCTGTAATCTGTTCGTCAAATAGTATATATGTACCTAAAGGAACTATAGGAAAAGAGGAATTTGGGGTGATTAAATTGAAAATTTCACACCAAACATTTTCGATCAATTTAAAGCCTGTATTTCGTATCGTTACCATAGCAACTAAACAAATTTCTTGGAAATTTTTTCGTCCTCCTTGGGGGACGGAGCATGAAATTACACTGGACATTTTTTGACGTTTATAGGTTAAATGACATTTACATTCAACTTCAGATTATTTCGAGTTCATTCTATAAGTCAATGAATAAAAATCATTTATCAACAGTTTACCATGTAATATTATGTAGGTATACTTGCAAATTCGAAATTTACAAAAACACATGTTGTTACTATACGTTAGTTCTTACATTTCATCACGAACAACCATCATTTTCAACTAAATCATTTGAGTGTTGTTGAAATTCCTTAGCTTTAAATTGATCGAAAATGTTTGGTGTGAAATTTTCTTACCGAATACCACTTAAGCTTCAATTAATATCCGGGAATTTTTTCTCGAACACGAATATTTAGGAAATTCTCCCTCGTCTTTGACTCGGGAGAATTTCCGAAAATTATTGAAGCTCTCGTGATATTATAAGTGAAAACATTACTACAGGAAGCACTGAACATCCTATGCATTCTTACATGGGATGCACTTTCTACTAACTAATCAATCTTAATGGTTTCTGAAATTCAATTGACGCTTTCTGAAATTCTGATGATATTTTCTGAAATACAAATGACGTTTTCTGAAATTCAATTAACTATTCTGAAATACAACTGACGCTTTCTGAAATACAAGTGACTATTATGAAATCCAATTGACCCTTTCTAAAATTAAATTGACTATTCTGAAATACAATTGATGCTTTCTGAAATTCAATTGACTAATCTGAAATACAATTGACGCTTTCTGAAATTAAATTGACTATTCTGAAATACAACTGACGCTTTCTGAAATACAAGTGACTATTATGAAATCCAATTGACCCTTTCTAAAATTAAATTGACTATTCTGAAATACAATTGATGCTTTCTGAAATTCAATTGACTACTCTGAAATACAATTGACGCTTTCTGAAATTAAATTGACTATTCTGAATAACAATTGGCGCTTTCTGAAATTAAATTGACTATTCTGAATTACAATTGACGCTTTCGGAAATACAATTGACTATTCTGAAATACAATTGACGCTTTCTGAAATTAAATTGACTATTCTGAATTACAATCGACGCTTTCTGAAATACACCTGGAAAAGGTGTAGAGTCTCTGTATGTATTTTACACTTTTGCTGTACTAGGTCTGCGGCGAAACTCTCTCAATCTCAGGGGGTAGTTTATATGGGTCCACACTGTATATGTGGTTTCTGGGCAAGAAAAACTCGCTAAGTCGGACAGACTAAGTTTTAATTCCACCCAATCGAAGCATGCGTCTAAAAACTGACAGAGAAAACCAAATACAACATATTATTTTTCCACGATATGATCCGAATACAATAATTGACAAATAAGTAGCAAAGATAATCGAGTCCAGTAAACTATAAGCAATATATTTTAATGACGTAACTCACCTGACAGATCAGACACACTTTTGCTGAAATAATTTTATTTCAGGACAGATGAGAACACGAGGATTCGGACACAGGGGAGTACCCGTGGGGATAATGATAAAGTATGAAATGCTATACAATTGGGGTGATTATTTCGGGAAATGACTGGAATGTAGCAATCTCGTATTGGTTTCGCTACAGGTCCGACCCTGGAGGTAAAATATTGAAACATAACCTCACTCTTTTGTGAAACATTGAAACACAACCTCACTTTTTCTATTTTTTTACAGAGGAATCAAAGGATTGAAATAGTTTTTCACAATATTTTGGCATACGAATCGCGTTTTTTGCGCTATTCATTAATTCAAGCATGCCTTCTCATTGTGCTGTTGTACAATACACAAAAAATGCAGCGAGAGACGAAGGAATATGAGTTTTCAGCTAAATAGTAATCTCACATAGTTTTCATTATGAAATTTTGTCATTTCTTATCAAAATTCCTGCTGGCACTTCCGCAATAGAAGCTAATACTGCTGATGAATAGATTGAAAATGTCTACAACACACATGATCTTATTTCGTCAGCATGTCATACCAGTCCTCCCATTTGATTGCATGAATCCAATCTTGCATTATTTCAGAAATTTCACGAGTATAACTATCAGCTGCTATTGCAGAAGGAATTTCGATGAGAAATCAGAGGAATTACCAAATTTCAAAAATGAAAACTATATGTGAGTGACTATTTTAGGTACTTATTTTTTAATCATAATGTACCGACTGGATTCCTTCGTCTTCCGCTGCATTTTTTGTGCATTGTACAACAGCACAATGTGATGGCATGAGCGAATTAATGAATAGCCGAAAAATACGATTCGTATGCCAAAATGATTGTGAAAAACTATTTCAATCACTTGTAAACAAATAAGAAAAGTGAGGTTGTGTTTCAATGTTGTGCCTCCAGGGTCGGTCATCTGACAGTTCTTCCGCGCAACTCATGGGCGTACCGTTTTTTTAGCTATGGGGGTAAAAAAAAAATGCCAGGAATTCCTCCAAGGGCTAACCTTCAGTATATACCAAAAGATTTTCTAATGGGGTAAAAAGTAGACCTCAGGGGCGTACCTAATTTTTTTTTAGGGGGCCAAGAATTAAAAATGTCAGGCATTCAAAATCGACACAGGGCGTATCAATTTTTTTCTAAAGTGGTCAAAAATATGACATGTCGAGAATGAAAAAAATACTTAAGGGGCATACCCATTTTTTTTCTGAATGGTCAATCATAATAAATAGCCGGAATTCGAAATCGGACTCCAAGAGCGTACCATTTGTTCCTCAGCGGGTCAAAATTCTGTAATTCCTTCAATACCCCCCGTAACGAAATAAAAATAGCGACTTCATGAGCGTACTCAATTTTTTCCTGAAGGTCGAAAATAACAAATGTGGAAAATATGAAACCAACTCCAAGGGCGTACCGTTTTTTTTGCTATGGGGGTAAAAAAAATGTCAGGAATTCCTCCAAGGGCATACCTTTCATGTATACCAAAAGATTTTCTAAAGTGGTAAGAAAATGTAGGCAATTGAAAATTAGACCTCAGGGGCGTGCCTAGAAATTTGTTTGAGGGGACGAGAATTAAAAGTGTCAGGCATTTCAGAATCGACACAGGGCGTATCAATTTTTTTCTGAAGGGGTCAAAAATATGACATGTCGAGAATGAAAAAAAATACCTCAGGGGCGTACCCATTTTTTTTTTCTGAAAGGTCAATAATAATAAATAGCCGGAATCCGAAATCGGATTCCAAGAGCGTACCATTTCTTCCTCAGCGGGTCAAAATTCTGTAATTCCTTCAATACCCCCCGAAATGAAATAAAAATAGCGACTGCATGAGCGTACTCATTTTTTTTCCTGAAGGTCGAAAATAACAAATGTGGAAAATATGAAACCAACTCCAAGGGCGTACCGTTTTTTATTGCTATGGGGGTAAAAAAAACTGTCAGGAATTCCTCCAAGGGCATACCTTTTATGTATACCAAAAGATTTTCTAAAGGGGTAAAAAAATGTAGGCAATTGAAAATTAGATCTCAGGGGCGTGCCTAGAAATTTTTTTGAGGGGACGAGAATTAAAAATGTCAGGCATTTCAGAATCGACACATAGGGCGTATCAATTTTTTTCTAAAGGGGGCAAAAATGTAAAATGTCGAGAATAAAATAAGTACCTCAGGGGCGTACCCAATTTTTTTTTGAGGGGACAATATCTGAAAAAAAAAACAAGAAAAATCCAGTTGACTCACCGCCCTCGATCTCGCCGTCCGAGCTGTCGCTCTCCTCCTCCTCGGCCCCCTCTGCCGCCTTGGCCGCGTACGCCCTCTTCAAACCGTCGAAGAGGAGGATGAGGGAGGGCACCACCTTGCCGGCCACCTCGAGCAGGGCGGGCGGCCGTGTCGGCATCGTGATGAGGGTGCACAGCCCAAGAACGCACAGTTTTCTGTCGTGGATGCCGAGGAAGCAGTCGGCGTCGTGCAGCCATTGCTTGATGAAGTGGTTCGTGAAGTCGGGCATTTTTTGCAATACTGCAAAAAAGTGTTTTTTTTCAATAATTTATACATTGAGGATGTAGAAACTCTCCCCTCTCATTTTGTTCATCTCTTGGGGCGCACGAAAAGGAATCCTTATAATGTTCGGAGAACATCGTGCGTACCTAGGGATGACAGGGGGAAGAGGTAGGTATTATCATTTTTTTTAAACTTTTGGAGATTATAAGTTCTCGGAAATACTTCCTTTGGCAAAGAATTCCAAAGCTTTGCCGTTCTATAGACAAACGAGTCCTGGTAAACGTTCATTCATTTCTTCAATGTATTTATAAGACATATCTTCCAGTCAGAACAAGTTCTGGAATGAGGAAGAACATAATTATAAAATAATAAGTAAAAAATATCTATGAACTACTACACAACCAAGGCCTACTAAGTCGCATTCAGGGGCTGAGAGATCCAGAATTATTATTAGCGATTTTTTTAAAACCGTACACGGCACTGGAATGGGCATCCCCTGAAATAGATCTGTACCAAGTTTCACGGAAGAATATTGAACATTAACGATTCTCTGACTATATTACTGACAATTTGTTTATCATGCATTGAGAAGCTTTTTATGTTGTAATATTCATAATAGTAGGCTTTGCAATCATTGAGGTCACAGATGACCGCAAATTAATGCAGTTTCCTTCCAGATCTCTCGACCTAACTCCCCTAAGGGGTTTAAATAGAAAAAAAGTTGAAAAATCCAGAAACTGAAATCAATTCATGTGTGTTGATTCAATATTATTTTAATGTTTTTTGTTGAGTGCCATTTGTTATCGCATGGGTTACTAAATGAAAAGCTTCTTAATGCATAATGAATAACTTTCTAGTAATTTCATAGAATTGTTGAAGTTGAAAATTTGTTAATGACACTTGGTACAGATTTATTTCAGAGGACGTCGACTCTAGAGGCGTACGCAGATTTTTTTCAAAAAAATTCACTAATGTGGATTCTGGATTTTTCAGCCTCTGAAAGTGATCTAGTAAGCCTTAGTTTTTAGAAAAAGTGGACATTGCTTAGCTCCAGAATACACCTTTTCCCCATCCATATTTGATTAAAGTTCGTCCAAATCGCTACATAAACAAAAGTTTTAAGAGGGTGGCCCGCTTTTAAATGGGTCACTCTGTATGTTTATAACAGGGAACATAAAAAAGTATTATATTACATATAAAGTAGGTATAGGAATAATTATTTGGGTAATTCTTAGAGATTGGGCTGATCCTCGTTTGAGTGAATGAATTCATGTTATTCAGTCTAGATCCTGATCGTACCTGAGAAGAGTAGCTGAGGGTCGTAGTAGAGGGCGGCGATCAGCACCTGCAGCAACATCGTTCTGAGCTCGCTGGTCTTCACCTCCCTCAGCAGCCTGGTGGCGGCCAACTCGACTAACATGGGAGCCGCCTGGTCGATCTTTTTCCGGCACTGCAGAAGAACGACCTCCAACAGTTTGGCGGCGTGAGATTCGGGATCCTCTCCGCAATCCTAACATGATGATAACGATGTTATGGATGTGAGACCCAGTTAATCCCACTCCCACAAAAAGCATCTGTTTTCATTTTTTATTGGGTGCTAGACAATTTTGAGATCCCACGTTGGGCGCCAAAACGGAACTTTCTTGCAAGTTGAGATTATATTATGAGACAATTAAAAAATTCATGGAACTACCTCCCCCACCAGTATTATCAACTTGTGGTACTACTACTACAATACTATTGAAATTAGAGTAATCACAAAATTTATCTCATTTAGTTATTTTATTCCCACGTTGGGCGCCAATATTAGGGCCCCTTGATGGAAATTGACGTTAAAGTCATATAACAGGGTACGGACAGATCATAGCTGCATTCTTTTTTAATGATCTAGAGACTTTAGTTTTGTCTACTGGCATCCCTGACATTGCTGTCACGTCACATCCATGGGCGCTACAGAAAATCATTCAAAATTTCACAGGGTGTTTACTTGTTGAGGAAGATCATATGGCGAACAAGTTTTGTAATGAAAATTCGATTCTATTCAAAATTGATATCTGGGGGTTTTCGGGGTAGGAGATAATGATTGTTTCGTCAAAATTGGAAAATCCAAGATGACGGATCTAATATGGCGAAAGACATTAGTTTATATAATTATTTCTCTACCACAAATAGAAAATATGTAGAATGCAAGATTGAAAATAATGTGCCTATAAGTTATACTGCGTATACCTACTTGTTTGTTACTTTCATCAATAAATTATTTGAAATGACCTTTTATTTAAGGGAGACGGAAGAATGATATGTATAACATGGGGGTGAAGTATATTATATTCTTTATTTCCCTGCACATTTCACGTATTACTTTTTAATTTTTATCAGCCTACTTTTTCGTCCTAGACGAAGTTTTATACATAGTGTGATATTAGTCAGTCCATAAATTCTTCTTCGAGTCCGATTTCCGAAAATATATTTAGCACACATTACATGAGTACAGTAGTTTAGATACTCACATCGAGGTTTTCACCATTTCTCAATCATAAGGCTCAGCTCATTCAGCTCATAGATTAACTACTGCTCAGTTTGAGATCAGAATTCATTCAGTCAATTCAGTCAACCCTGGTATACAGTCTAAGAACAGTCTCTTTTGGTGAAATTTATTATGCATGTTCCCTACCTCGCAAGGATTATGCTGGAGTAGTAAACTTTGAAACTAGAGGATTTTTAATCTATATATCTTGGTATAGTTGAATCAGGAATTCCATATGGAAATTACGTATGATACGCCAGTGACCTCAATATAACCTAGAAAACAACAAATGTCAAAAATCTAGTGTTTATCCCCAGAATTGAATAAGGACAGAACTATATAACTGTTTCACAAACACTTTAGAGTGAGAGGAGACGAGGATCTGTCCGTACCCTGTTATATGACTTTAACGTCAATTTCCATCAAGGGACCCTAGCCAATATCGGGCCGTTCAGAATTCCTATGAAAAAAACTCATACAAAATCAGTTGCTGTGATAAATTTTGCGTGTCATCGATCAAAATGACATTACACGTCAGATACCTGTAATTTCAGTTGTTGATGTAATGAAGTTTGGGAGATATTTCAAGCTCTTATTGGGCGCCAATATTAGGACTGTATCTACTGAAAGGAACTATACTGTCTTGCAGAACACAACAAGACCTACTAGACCGATAAGGATTTTAAAGATATTTGAGAGACCATCCTCCTCCATCCATTGACCAACGTGAGAGCAGCCTGGTCGATATTTTTCCGGCACTGCAGAAGAACGACTTCCAACAGTTTGGCGGCGTGAGATTCGGGATCCTCTCCGCAATCCCAACATGATGATAACAATATTATGGATGTGAGAGACCGTATACCCCACTCCCGAAAAACAATAAAATGTTTTCATTTTTAATTGGGTGCTGGACAATTTTGATTTCCCACTTTGGGCACCAAAACGGAACTTTCTTGCAAGTTGATGAGATTATATTATGAGAATGAACGCGGCAGTCTTATCAACTAGTACTACTACATCACTATAAAAATGAGAGTAATAACGAAGTTTGAAAGTTATTTTCATCCCACGTTGGGCGCCAATACAGGGTAACTCACAGTCGATGGTACGTTAGACGTTTATGGAGAACGGGACATAGGATCATTCTGAAATTTTGGTTACTCACGTAGTTGCTCTTGGTCTATCGATCTAAAATATTTTCAGCTCTGCGGCGTTGCCGCTTCTATCGAAAAGTAGCAACAACTTTGTTATTTTAAATGGAACACCCTGTATTTTATTGCATTTTCACATTCTCTCTGAAGAGCTGATTTCATCGATGTATCACACTTGGGGTCTAGCGGAAATAATTACAGAGATAAAGGGGGTGAAAAATCGACATTTTTCAACTTTAGGAATTTTTTCTGTCGAAACTATCCATAATTGGTCAAAACGGCTTACATGTCTCTATCTCAACTTTTGATCAACTATCTACTGATATTTAATTGGGACATATACCGGGTGATCAAGATTCTGAATCCTGCACCACCCTGTATTTGTTTCAATTAAATGTCAGTAGATAGTTGATCAAAAGTTGAGATAGGGACATGTGAGCCGTTTTGAACAATAATGAATAGTTTCGACAAAAGAAATTCCTAAAGTTGAAAAATGTCGATCTTTCACACCCTATATCTCTGTAATCATTTCCGCTAGACCCCAAGTGTGATACATCGATGAAATCAGCTCTTCAGAGAGAATCTGAAAATGCAATAAAATACAGAGTGTTCCATTCAAAATAACAAAGTTGTTGCTACTTTTCGAAAGAAGCGGCAACGCCGCAGAGCTGAAAATATTTCAGATCGATAGACCAAGAGCAACTACGTGAGTAACCAAAATTTCAGAATGATACTATGTCCCATTCTCCGTAAACGTCTAACGTACCATGGACCGTGAGTTACCCTGTATAAAGCCGTTCAGAATTCCTATGAATGAACTTATACAATATCAGTTGCTGTGATACATTTTGCGTGTCATCGATCGAAATGACATCAACTTTTACTCGTCAGATATCTGTAATATCAATTATTGTAATGAATTTAGGACTGTCTCTACTGAAAGGAATTATACGGTCTTGCAGAACACAATCGACTTACTAGACCGTATCAGGTAATATACTCAGAGTAGTAAAAACTGAGAATTTCTTACCTTGGTAAGTATTTCTTTGCACATGTTGAAAATAGCTAATAGACGTTGTTCGTTCGATAGAAAAGCGTTGGTATCGATTGTGATGTAGTTGTGGAGGGCTGGCATCATGTCAGTGAAGTGATCGATGCCATTTTTCATGAATACCTAAGATAAAAACAATACAACATATTAAAAAACAACTATGTTACGACGTGTGGCTGCTGGTTTATTATCTCCGATAGGTTAGCTGTGAAAAAGTTATCGAAATAACTCACTTGATACAACAGTTCGAACACCTTCCACATGTCGGGCGAAATCTGCTTGCTGGTGAGATCGTAGATCAAAGCCAACACCTCCTCGTAGAATTCGTGAACCTCGTTTTGCAGCACGTGTGCTATGACTTGCAGAACTGTCGGCTCCAAAAGCTGCATAACCTATAGTCACAACAAATTAGGAAAAACATTATTTCACATACCATGCCACACGAAGAAACTGAAAAAGTCATGTGAGAAGGCATTATAATGATGCAATATTCTTATCATTTGTTGTAAACAATTGATGTCAGTGACGAAATACCAATTCTTTTCGTAAAATCAATTTCAATTCGACAAATTAATGTATTTGCATAAAATTATCGAATATCCATACAATATTTTTTGTCGGATCACTCTGGGGCTTCACTGTTTTTCGTGTGTGTGGGTGTGTTGTGTGTTTTGTGTATATAATCGCGAACACTACAAATAGAAAAACCACGCAGCGATGGGCTGAACCTCATGAGCAGTTCGACACTGATTAGTCTTGAGTGTTGATGGACACTCGCACCACAAGTTATTTTCCTATCTAGTTTGATATTAGAACGCTACATTCACAGTGCTGCAATTTTCGAGGAGAAATTAAATACGATCCGCAATAATTTCGCGTAAACTGTAGTGCCCTCCAAGATCCTCCAGAGAAAAGAAGAAAACCGGCCGGTTCAGGACCACGCCGTCATCTTGCAAAAGTGAGTTCCCGTTCTCAACGGGCTGTGACAACTAATGTAAGGTAGGATCTTGAGATTACGCTCGCATATTTTGTAAACGGTTTTGAATAAACTTATATTATTATTTATCATAATTAATGAATAAATATACAGGCTGATTTTAAAATGAGTGCATATATTCAAGACATATATATGAGAGAGTCTAACAAAAATTACTAAAATATTTGATTTTTCCTAAGTCTTCACATTAACGAGAAATTTCATTTTGAAAATTGAAAATAAAATGCTTCGAAATTCGAGTACGCCACTGGGAAGCAAGTGAAATCTGCGGAATCCTAGTGAATCCACAATTCGTCATTCACTAAAGTCAAAACAAGACAGTGATGCCAGATTGTTTCAGAGAATATCCTGATAAAAATTTGTCACAGAATGAATATGAATTGGAATAGGTTATAGAAACTAATAGAGGTGAATGTAATATGTACAGGAGCCTTATTTTTTTAAGTTTACTGAGAGAACTGTGGGGTGATTATCTCCATGGATCACGAGAGACGGAGAGAAACATGAGGGGAATGATAGAACGTCCCCCTTCCTTCAATTCGAAAATAAGGCCCCAGCGGGTAGATACAAAATTAGCAGACAATAAATAGGTACACAACATACACAAAGTTGAAAATCGACTCACCTAGTAGATTTTCTCATACCTGCTCGAACAGCAAAACTCCCGAGAGCAAACAAATACTAATATCGAGTCCATTCCAGACTAATATCGTCCTGTGTTCTTGTTGGTTCATATTCGCACTTAAACCATCGAAAACGACTTGACGACGACATATCCTTCCTGGCAATCTCACATTGAAAATCACGATAACGATTATTGTACAAACCAGCAACCACACAAACAAAACTATTATCATATGATCTGTCAACATCATTTCTCAGAACAGTAGTATCTGTGACCATAGATTTCCTTTTTGCTGTGACCTTTGACAGTACTAACTAGGATTGTTCGCGTTCAGAAAATAAACAATCCGAAACCGTCAGAAGCATGCACAAGTCCACAGAACCCAAAAAAATCATATAGTTCTGTGAAACTGCGCATGCTACTGACCGTTTCGGACGCAAGAATTCAGATGACCATGAATTACTAATAGGCGATTTCTACGGACCAATCAGAAACAGCAAAGTAGCGCCTGCGTGGTTGCGATTCATCCTGATTGGACACAGCTGATTTTATTCGTGAGATTAGTGCATATAGTGAGGAAGGATCATTTCATTGAATTGAACTAATATATATTTTTTTCTGTGACGGGAAAAAAATTTGGCATTTCATCTCTGTTGGCAGGTTATAAAATGTCACTTTTCATAAATTACTTTTTTCCCGTGGGAAAAAAGTGAGTACTTCTTTCCCGGATATATATCACATATATATACTCTGTTAATGGCTTTTGTTGTGCTATAGTTCCGAAAAATAAGTCAATAATACCGTCTCCGAGAAAGAACTGCAAGTCCTTTTATCTTCCATTCGACTTCGCGGTTTCGTATATTACTAAACAACTACTGAATTCGCAATTTTTCAAAATCAGATCACAGAATTGAACTGACAGAAAGTGACATCAGATATTTGATTACTTCAAAAGAATGATAAAGATGTCTATAAAACGCAGGTGTCCCTACTGTTAAAAACTTGAAATTTCACGTCGATAATTTTCAGATTTCGAAATAATGTAATATCTTCTCAATATTGATTCGTCCTTCCTTCTGTCACAGAAAAAAATAGTGTATTATACACGGGAAAAATATTAGATTTTAGCTCACGGTTTTTTGTCTCCCTCCGCTACGCGTCGGGAGACAACACAACCTGGAGCTAAAATCTACTACTTTTTTCCCTTGTATAATAAATAACTATTTTTCCAAATTAGTTATTATGAAAATGATAGTTTCATTCAAAGAGATGATCCTTCCTTACTATAATACAGTAATCTCAATCACCTGTGCCCAATCAGGATGAATCGCAACCACGCAGGCACTACTTTGCTGTTTCTGATTGGTCCGTAAAAGTCGCCTATTAGTAATTCTTGGTCATCTAAATTCTTGCTGGTAGCACACCATAAGAACAATCAGAACAAAGATCCTTTCTTGACAGTTTGTTGTTCTGAGAATGTATGTTATTTTGGAAAACGTCAAAACGTGATACTAGTAAATGTAAAGTTTTGTTTCTGACAATTTGCTTGGAATGTGACGATGCATTTCTCAAACATTGAGCTGAATGATATGGTTCTTATGTCAGGTCGTTACTGTGCGGGGCCCATGAGACTCCTCGAAGGACACGAAATTGTAGCGATGCAAGGAGGTGGAAGGAAGGGTCTAAAGGATTTTTCAGTAAAAGAACTTCCAACCGTGAGGTGTTAAGTTATACGCTATTCGAGCTTATGTGTAGAAATCTTGGGTGAGTCCATTTTAAAGTTTTTGTATTATCTTTCTGAAATTCAAGACCAGGGTTAACTTCTTCCCCATGTACCTACATTTTCTCGATTATACATTTTATTTAATATCTTCTAATTTTCATGTAGAGTGGCAACGTCGCTTCGTTCATCACGGTCGACTGCGGATCGCAAACGATAGTTGTGACAGAAGTAGAAATCTGGGCGGAAAAAGGGTATTTTGCCCCAAATCTATTTTGATCCTAATAATTTTTTTTTCTACATTCATGCAAAAAGCAGAACTTTATTGAACTATATTTAGTGGAAAAAGAAGTTCTTTATTGCACTTAGTGCAATAAAGTTTTTATTGCACTCATCTGTCATTCTACTTCAACGTGCTTTCATCATGACAAACATTTTTTATATTGCAACTGTGGTTATAGAAACGTCAGTCAAAAATTAATTCTGACAATTAACAGAATTGTACCTAGTGCCGCACCTCAATAAATCATTGTTTGATTTTTGCATGAACGTAGAAAAAATGTTGTATGCAACTCGTGCAAAAAGTGATTGTTTATTGCACTCGACGTGTTTTCCAACTCGGCCTAACGGCCTCGTCGGACAATTTCACGTCGAGTGCAATAAACATTCACTTTTTGCACTTGTTGCATAAATAACTATAATAGTGCTATTCGGTAGTATACCTCAAGCTTTCTTAGTGTTTAAAATATATGCACTCATTTTAAAATCACCCTGTATAGAACAGAAGATAGTGCGTCAACAAGGAGATTGGCTTGAAGCTCAACTCGTCTACGATCACCTTTCATATTTTTGTCATTACAAAGACTCCACCGTTTTTTGTGTGTAAGTGTGGATTTATGCAGCGTCATTTAACATGTATCATGTAACAGTTATCATTTTACAATTAACAATTATAAGTTGAATTTCATATTTTCCAATGACTGTGTTTATGCAGACATTTAACAATTATCATTTATCATGTAACATGTAGAATGTTGGCCAACTTTTAACTTCTTACATTAAATGAACCAGATTTTCCTATTGTGCGCAACCTTGTACGCAAATTATCTTGGATTGGTCCGCCCGGTAATGAAATTAACCTAAAAATTAAATGTCGTGCCGTCAACAGCATCATCAGGACAAAAGGCGCTTCTGCCTCTTCCATTTCAGGAAACAAATGTTTATATGTTTATAACATTTGAGAATGTATTATTTTTTTTTACATAAAAAAGGAGGGTTAGGTTGAAAGGACTGACTTGTGCGCATGCGTATAATTTCTTCTTAAATGTTAATTTGGTCTGCATAGATGGTACCATTTTCGCTACTTGTTACATGATAAATGTTAATTGATAATTGTTACATGATACATGTTAAATGACGCTGCATAAATCCACACTGTTTGTGCGTGTTTTTCATATTCAGAGTCACGACCACTAAAAATAGACGAGCCACGCAGCATACGAATTACCTCGGGCTGTTCGTCCATAACAGTGAGCAGCGTCTCGATGGTGTTGAGCAGCCCCATCGCTGTGATCGCCTTCTCGTCGGAGCCCTCGTCGGTGTCCAAGACTTGATTGAAGGTGGCGGCCAAGTGCTGGCATATCTCGACGGCGATCGGCGTCAGCTGTTGCGTGTAGACGCACACCAGCTTCTGCATGACGCCTGTCACGTCCTCGTTTTCCGTTTCTCGGATGATCGTGAGCAGTTCCAGAGCGATTTGTTTCACCTGAATGGGACAACGACCCAAAGTGAGTTCTAACCTCTCAAGTTTCTAATTAGTTGTGGAAAAATGATGATTGAAATGAACAAAATTCAAAGAATGTACTTGTTATTTTACTAGATAGATTGTTGTTCTAAAAAAATTGTTCTAAAATTGTTCTATCCGTCATTCGGTTGCCCCCTTACGAGCAACCCTCAAAAGTCTTCGAAAGTCTTGTGCGAGCAAGGAATGACGGGGGCCTTACCTTTTTAAGTGTGATCCCAAACACTTTCTTGGGCCATCAGAAAAATTTCTGCAGTCGACGGGGATCGAACCCACGACCGGCAAGCGAATGCGAATTAGAATATAGACACTCTGTCCGCACGGCTACCTGGCCAGATAGATAGTTCATTTGACTATATCATAATAGGTGGAGATCTGTACTAGCTGCATACACGTTACTGATCAATAAAATAAAGTGATATTTATATTTCGTGTGAAATTTATTATAAAATCGCAGAGCGCTTTCGGCTAAAAAGCCATCATCAGTGCTATACCTGCAAGTGAGTGACATTTATGAAAATTTCAAAAAACAAATCCGAAAGTGTAGATTACTTACTCGTCAAGTATTTAGTGATGGACGACATCATTATGGTAATTCCGTTTGTCTCTTCATTCTATTTATACAGGGTGTTTCTTAAGTACGCGTAGAAAATTCAAGAGCATGTTGCTGACGTCAAAATGATAAGAAAAGTTTTTATAAATATATGTCTGAAAGTTATTCTGAGATACAGAGTGTCAAAGTTGAATTCTTATTTTCGTTTTTTATTAATAAATTCCAAAATAATTGTGATATTCGAATGAAGTTTGGTATCTCGGGGTATTTTCCGATGACAATATAAAATTTTCTGTTAGTCTCTATCTCTTCCGTGGGGGTGGCGTCACCAACATGTCTTTTGTGTCTTTTGAAAAGTCATTACTTTTTAGTGCTTACCTGTATCACGTTTCATAGTAAGAAAATAGATTTCTAGAACACTTTTGTGTGAAAAATATATACCTGGTAAAGGTCGCTGCGAGCCACTGTTTTCGAGTTATTGGGATTTGAGATAATCAGTGTAAGTAATTTGGAATGACAAGAAGTTGGAATTCAAAATTGATTCATCAAGTGAGGAAAATAATTTTTTTCAATTTCATTTTAAAATAGGAATCGGGTGTTATTACAATTCAATACTAATAAAAGACCAAATTAATACTAAAACAGTTAGTGGAGGGAATTGATTGAAGTAATTGTTCAAAGTGGACAAAATCGTAGATACAAAGAAGAAAGAATCATTATTTGCTTACATTCCAATGTTGAATTGTTGAATGTAGGAGAATATTGAATGAAAGAAGAAAAACGCACTGGCGTCTCTTTTCTGATATTTACTACTTAAAGGCGACTTACTAATACGAAATAATGGAAATAATTCAAATGCATCGATTATTTCAAATCCCAATAACCCGAAAACAGTTGTTCGCATCGACCTCTACCAAGAATATATTTTTTACACAAAAGTGTTACAGAAATCTATTTTTCTTCTATAAAACGTGATACAGGTACGCACAAAAAAGTTGTGACTTTTCAAAAGACTCAAAAGACATGTAGGTGGCGCCACCCCCACGAAAGAGACAAACTAACGTGAAATTTGATATTGTCATTGAAAAATACTCCTAGATACCAAACTTCATTCGAATATCACAATTATCTTGAAATTCATTAACAAAAAACAAAAATAAGAATTCAACTTTGACACTCTGTACATCAGAAACGAATAACTTTCGGACATATATTTATACGAACTTTTCTTCATATTTTGACGTCAGCAATATGCTCCTGAATTTTCTACACGTACTTAAAATATTGAAAATAATCAAATGAAATTTTGAAAATAAGAAAACTTCACCATTGCAGAAGAACAGAGATACAGAGGTTAATACATAATAAAAGTTTGAGAACAAATTTTAATAAACAATCGGTAATTATTATGTTCTTAAAGAAAAAAGGTCGCACCTGAAATATTTTCAACGTATTAATTGATAGAATAGAAACTATTATTTGAAAGGTACGATTTGATTGTTCATTTGAACTCATTCATCTTTAATATTTTAACTTGATGTGGCAGTGCATTATGGAGATTTTTTTTGTGAAATAAAGAGACTTTATCTAGGGATTCTGATATCAAAATTCCTAGTGTTATGATGGTGGATATCAGCCTGTGTAGTGAGATTAGACGATATTTTATGGATTTCAAGAGTCATAATTTTGAATTTAGTGAATAACGGTCCACAGGTAGCTCTATATCCTACATTACATAATATTCTTATGGCTTTTTTGTTGGTTGAATAAAAAAAGCACTTGCAGCTGAGGAATTACCCCACAGTAAGTAATTCACTGTGCTCAAAGTCTCAAAAATTGAGACATGTCTGAGCAGGCGCAAAAGAAACAATACACTTGACAATTTATGCTTCAAATGTTTTATATGAGAATTCCAATTTAAGCCATGATCCAAATTGACCCAGAGAAATACCTCCTGTTTCTCTTCACCATGCTGACGAGTACGGAAGGAAATACTCTTCATTATTCAGTTTCACATTGTGACCTCTGAACCATATTTCAACCATTTCTTCAATTTCTCTAGACCGATCTAAACTATGGTAGTCTGGACTCAAACATATAAATGACGTTTCAACAGCAAAAAGGACACATTTGAAGGGGGTCATGAAACTGATTAGCTCATTGATAAAAATAATTCGGATGTAACACTAATTCATCGAACTTTCGCAAATAGGTAACAACTTGAATGTGCATAGTGCTTCGACAAAATATACCTATTCCAGAAAAACACTATTCAAAAACTCTACAAGTTGATGGAAGGTTCAAACATAGCTTTTGGCGGTACACTCGTCTAGCCAGTACTGACGTCATACGCCTTCCGTTGTGATGCCAGTATAATTCTATACTAGTTCAAGGAAATATCAAGTGAATATTTATCAATTCTCAAGATTATTGAGGTTATAACAGAAAATGAAAGAACCTACTTTGTACTTTCACTAATTGATCAACATTTAACAGATAGACAAGAATTTGAATTCATACAGGGTGCTTCAAAATTTGATGTAAATAGTTCGAAGACATATTGTTGGGATCAAAATAAGACTTTTTTATATAAATATGTGTCCCCTCCGAGCAACAGCCACTATAAGTTAGAAAAAAAAGATTAACTAAAGTTGTGACTAAAATAATGGATCAAATCTTCTGAAAATTGGCATGGCCCTGTCTTTATAAACACTTCATGCCTTTCTTGCTTCAAAAATTATTAAACCCAGTCGTGGGGAGTGGATCGATGTTATAGAGGGTGCATTTTAGGACACGTTTATATGAAGAAAAAGTCTTGTTTTCATTCCAACAATACGTCCTTAAAATATTCACATCGAATTTTGAATCATCCTGTATAACAGAAATATAATTATTATGGCACAGTTTAATCTTTCTGAGAAGTCAAGCTCAAAGTAGGGTGGATATTTTTCAAAGGAATGAAGGACTGCTCAAAGTCGTCTCAACAAATATTTAATGTAGTTGTCACAACATCAGGGACATGTTTGTAAAGTTCTATAATAAAAAAAAATTATATGAGGGAATTACTTACTTTGTATTGACTTACCTTAACATCTTAGTTTAGATTCAAACACCTGTTAGCTGTTTGCCCCATTAATATCTTCATTACATTTGAAAATATCAAATTTAGCTTTCAATGAAGTCAATACAGTCCATAATTATGGGACTAGACAATTGAATTACTTGATAGCAAATACATTCAAGTCAAACATTGGCAAACAATATGTTTTTCACAATGGAATAATTTTATACAATTCATTACCGAATGAGTTGAAAAATATACATGATGCGAAAAGGTTTAAAATCAATCTTAAAAAATACTTGCTCAGGACAATTTGAATGAAAAATATGTGGCATGATTTGATTACTTAGGAATGAAATATAACTTTGATCTTAAGAAACAATATTAATTCGTTTCCACTGAGTGGAATTCATTAGTTAACCCTTTATTTTTTTTTATATGTATTCAACATTAAAAGACTGGTATAGTGATGAAGAAGATTCTGAAGCAAGATACAATCCACCAAAATATCCAGAATGTAATGGGAACATAAAGAAATATTTGCAAGACTTCATTATTAGTACCCAAGATCTATTGGAATGTGGAACATCTAAATCAAAAGGAAATTGTGAAAAAACCCCAAATTCTCAATGTGCATGTGGTAAATGCTTAAAATTGATTGGTGCCAATGAATCTCAAATAGTATGCAATGGAAAATGCGAAAATAGCTTCCATATCAAATGTGTTGATATTTCTCAGCAAGAATTGAAAAAAATTCTATCAATGAAAGAAAAAATATTATGGCTATGTGATAATTGTAAGTCATTTGTAAAATCATCTAAAACTGATAACAGCACAACTATACATAATATGAAGAACATGGCATTAATAATGGAAATATTATTAAACTTAGAACAAAAAATTGAGAATATTCCATTGAAAATTAATGAAAATGAACCTAAATTAACTTATGCATCAGTGACTAATAGAAGCATCCCAATAGATAATTTAATTACATCATCAACAATCAATAATCATGGAATCATCATCAAACCAAAAAATTCAACACAGACTATAACACAGACAAATCAAGAAATACAAACAAAAATAATACCAAGTTTAGCAAAAGCACCAGTAAAAAGTTATAAGAATACAAAGAAGGGATATGTTATAATCAAAACAGAATCCAAAGAAGCTAATAAAAATCTGATGGATATTATGAAAACAAAGTTAGAAGAGAAATATGAAGTTGACCTAATTAAACAAAATAAACCAAGAATTGCATTTTTGGGATTGAAAAGAAATTATGAGAATCATGAACTGCTAGAAGAAATTAGAAATTTGAACTACAATGTGGATGAAGATGATTGGTTTGACATCAAATACTCCAGACAATCTAAATTCACCAAGAAATGGATAATTTATGCAGAAACCAATGGAAGGACATACAGGAAATTAGTTAATCGAGAGATTAATATTGGCTGGGGTCAATGCAAAGTAGTAGAAGATCACAACATTTTAAAATGTTACAGATGTTGTGGATTTGGCCATAAAACATCTAATTGTACAAACAAAGAAGAAATTTGTTCTTTTTGTGCAGGAAATCATTCAGTTAACAAATGTTCTAAAAATACTAAACCAAAATGTATCAACTGCTTTTTTGACAAATCTAAAAATAACAAAGAAATTAATTTTATGCACCCAAGTGACGACAAAGAATGCCCAATTTTTTCAAGAAAAATTCAAATTTGTAGAGAACATACAGATTATTCTGAATAACCAAAATGCATAGTACCACCAATTTTATTACTGACTATAATGAATATTTCCAAAATTTGTCTGATGTCAGTTTGGGTGTTTTACATTTCAATATAAGAAGTATAAACAAAAATTTTGATGAATTTCTGATATTCCTTGATGATTTCCATCAAAAAAATGTCCATTTTGATATTATCATATTATCTGAAACATGGGAAATTCTTGATAAAAATATGTATTCTATCCCAAATTATACAATTTATTATAATAATTCAAAATTATGTCAGAATGATGGATTAGTGCTCTTTATAAGAAACGACTTAAGTGCTAATATCAATATTTTAGAAATTTACAACTTCAGATTTATTAGATTGAACTTGAAGATGAATAATTCTAACTTTGGATTAACTACAATATATAGACCACCTTCTTCAGATTCTAAACAATTTTTAAATGCAATCAATGAGTTACTACCAATTTGTAATGATACGAATGAAATCTTTGTAGGAGATTGTAACATTAACATATTGAATGATGATAAAATTAGTTATCAATATTTAAATATAATGAATTCTTTTTCTTTCAATTACTATTTGAATAAACCTAGTAGAATTTATAAAAATTCAAAGAGCTGCATTGATCCTATTTTTATAAGGGCAAATGACAAAAACATACGGTCATCAAATTTTTTCATATTTGAAAACTTTATTACTGATCACTTTCCAGTTTCATGTCAAATATACTTGAGTAATCAAAGTTCCAAAAATGTTCAAAGATCTGAAATAATAACAACGCACATTGATTTTGATAAATTGAGTAATATTATAAATTCACAAAATTGGGAACACATTTATCAAGAAAATGATGTAGATAAAGCATACGACATATTCATTGATAACTACTGGAGATTATTGATCACTGTTGCAAAAAAAGAAATACATCTGCAAAATTTAAAAAACTCAAACCTTGGATTACAAATGGCTTAATAATATCAATCAGAAAACGTGATCAGTTGAGTAAACGTGTAATGAAAGAAAAAAATAACTTGAATCTATGTAATTTCTATAGACAATATAGAAATTTTTTGAATAAATTAATAAAACATGTTAAAAGTATGTATTATAAAAATGAAGTGATCAAAACTGAAGGAGATATCAAAAAAATTTGGAAAGTAGTCAATGAACTGACAGGAAAAAACAAAGTATCTAAAAAGAGCATTCATGAACTATATAATGAAAATAATAATTTCATCACAACTGATCAAAAAGAAATTGCAAATATATTCATAAATCACTTTACAAATATAGGATCAAAATTATCAAGACAAATTGAGGTACCTGAAGGATACCAAAAGTTGGCTGTAACTCATTGTCCTGATAGTTTATATCTTACTCCTATTGAAGAAACTGAAATAACTGATTTAATAAATTCTTTGAAAAATAAATGTTCTCCTGGGCCGGATCAAATTAGTAACAAAATATTGAAAAATATAAAAAAAGAAATTTCTTCTGTCCTTACTCATTTATTCAATTTGAGTTTTAAAACAGGCATATTCCCCAAAAAATTGAAAATGTCTACAATTATTCCAATACATAAAGAATCTAGTACAAATATTTGTGATAACTATCGTCCAATATCTTTAATTAATAATATTGCTAAACTTTTAGAAAAATGTTTGAAAAATAGATTATATGACTTTTTACAGAGCAAGAATATGCTTGCCCCTCATCAATTTGGCTTTAGACCTGGAATAGGGGCAGAAAATTCAATATATCATGTTACACGTACAATAAGTAAATCTCTTGATGATAACAAAAAAACAATAGGAATATTTCTTGATTTGAAAAAAGCATTTGATACGGTTTCGCATGATGTACTATTTAGAAAACTTCAAAATTGTGGCATACGTGGTAAAAGTTTGGAATTATTGAAGAGTTACTCATCAGAAAGAGAACAATTTACAAAATTAGAAGAAACGTTCAGCATAAAAACACATTTAATTTGTGGTGTTCCTCAAGGAACTGTTCTAGGTCCTATTCTTTTCATTATTTATATCAATGACTTACTAAAAACAAATATTGAAGGATATATTTTCTCATATGCTGATGATACAATGATAATTGTCAATGGAAACACTTGGTCAGAATCAATCATGAATGCTGAAAAAGCTATAGCAATAGTTAAAAATAATCTAGATTTTGACTTATTAACTTTAAATTTGAATAAAACAAAATTCATGACTTTCTCCTGTTATGAAGACTCACAACCAAACAATATAACAGAGTTGACAATTCATGATATAAACTGTTTCAAAAATATATCCAAAGAATCAAAAATGAATTGTTCATGTACCCACAAAATAAATAAAGTTGCTTTTATTAAATATCTTGGAATTTATATTGATCAACATTTAAAGTGGAATCATCACGTTTCAGAAATTACTAAGAAGCTCAGAAGTACTCTTCCAAAATTCAGATTTTTACGAAATATTGTTAATAGAAATTTAATCATAATGTTATATCATGTACTTTTTCAATCTATTCTGTCATATGGAATCATTGGATGGGGTGGTATGTATGAGACTCATCTCAAACCATTATTAAGTATTCAAAAATATGTTTTGAAAATAATTTTTCGTAAACCTTTGGATTATCCATCATCCTCATTATTTGTAGATAATCATATACTGAATGTCAAACAATTATTTTATAAAGCATCATTGAATTTCTTGAAAAAAAACACTGCATTTAGTAATAAAATTAGTCACAATTATTGTACAAGAAATGATAATGTTCAACTTGAAAAACATAATCTCAAAATCATGCAAAACCATAGTAGTTTTATTGGGTCAAAAATTTTTAACAGAGTTCCATCAAAATTGAGACGTTTGAATATTGTAACATTCAAAAAAAAAATTAAAATTTGGTTTTTGGATAATGCAAAAGAAATTGATAATCTCTTCAAATAATTTGTATATATTGAATTTATAATCAATATTTAATCTAAATATTTTTAAGAACTTGAAAATTTTTTACAAAATGTTTATAATAATTATCTAATTCACACACAGGTCAATAACCTATGTGAAGTAGATAAAATTTAGAATTTTTATAATATTAGAATATGTATGTCTTTGTAAATGTATTCATATGAGAATAAATAAATAAATAAATAAATAAATGTATCCCTATTATAAACAGAAATGTTTCTTGGGGTAATAAAGACAATCAATCAATCAATCAATTTAGTGCTCTCATAAGGGTAAAGAATCCGTCTTTCCAGAAATATGTTTTCGGGAATTGTTTGGCATTTCCCCTCATATACCATTTTGGTTTATGACATTTTATCTGTATTACGCTCTTTCAGGGCACAGGGCTCTTCATTCAATGAGAACCCGTTTATCTAAACATGATTATTTTACTAGCGGCATCGGCAGTCAGAACTACCAGTTAGTAATTTTATTTTTTAAACTTCAAGTAAGTCTATACAAAGTATGAAATTGTATTGTAGAACTTCTATTAAAAAAAAAAGGCTGAAGATATTATTTTCTAAGACCGAAAGATGTCCCTGATTGTGTAACAACATCATTAAATATTGGTGGAGATGACTTTGAGCATTACTTCCTTCCTTCCTTTGGAAAATGGATTAGTTTGTTATATTCCAGAAAAACACCATTTGAAAACCCTACAATCTCGTTCAACGATCAAAGATAGCGCTTGGCGGCATACTCATCTCGCCAGTACTGACGTCATAAGCCTTCCCCTGTGCTGCTAGATGTTCTAGTCCAAGGAAATATCAACAAAATATTTCTCGACTTTCAAAACGATCAAAAGGATAAGTTTTAGTAATTCAGCAACCTTTTGATACAAAATGGAGTTCATGAAAACGAATTGATGAAGTAAGGTCTGTTGAAATTATCCCAAAAAGCTTATTCTCTATGTTCTATGCTTATTGTTATTTATTCTTGTGTGAGCTATCGATTGTCCTTCTGTAAAACCATGTTCGCCGCCACTTGCCCTTTATCTGTCAAACTTCAGTCTGTTTTATGTTTGTGCTAATACGTCATATGTCACAGTGTCACAGTCAGTTGTCTTTTCATTTATACATTATACATTTCTATGATATTATATTTTTCCTGATTCAGTTCAATAAATGATTTCCAGATCGTCTACACGCCTTTGGTTATTTTTATCAAGGTCAACTTAAAATGTTACCGGGAACAGAGAATCAGAAGATAACTTACCTGAGGCTCGATGAACTTTTGCGCTTTGTCTTGGTGGTTCAGCAGAGACTGCAAGGCGATGGCCGCTTCGACTTTGACCGGCAGATCTTTGTCGTACAGCAGAGCGTGGACTGTCAAATTGACGGCGTCCATTAGAACGTTGGACGAGTATTCGGCGAAATAATGCATTACCTGTGGAAGATGAAAAAATAATCGGTATAAAATATAGGAAGCCAAAGTGTGCTCGAGGTTGCTGGTGCTGCCATAGGTCGCTTGCATAAATGTCAGATGACCGACCCTGGAGAAAAACAACCTCACTTTTCTTATTTGTTAACATAGGGTTGAATAATATTTGTAGCTCCATAAGGGAGATCAAATGTGGTGTACCACAAGGTTGCGTTTTAGATCCAATTTTATTTTTAATTTACATCAATTCAATATGATCTTTGAAGCTGAAAGGAGATCTAAAGTTATTTGCAGATGATACTACAATAATCTATTCCTCTAAAGAATTTAATGATATAATTGATGATATAAAAATTGACTTGAAAATAATATCATTTTGGCTAAAAATTCATGAGCTGACTCTTAACTATGACAAATCTACGTATATGTATATTCCAAAAAGAAAAACTGCTGAATTTAATAAATTACCACATAATATAAAAAATTGCTGACATATTTCAAAATTTAAAATTGAATTAAAAAAACACATGATTTCATTACGAAACGGATAAAATTTATACTTTGCCATCTACTGATTAGTCCCTGTGGCTATTTTTACGACTTGATCGATTCAACATTTTTAGATTTTTTAGATTTTTTGTTGTTTTTGTTGTTGTCACCTTATATTTTATTATTGTTGTTTGTAATCAACTTCCTCATACCGGAATTTTATTTCTGACTGGTAGCTAGTTTTTCAATAAACAATAAACAATATTTAACAATATTTTGCCTCGGCGATAACATTTCTTTCGGTACGTTGAATAATATATTTCATTACGAGTCTGGAAATAGGACTTTTCCGTGCGCGTGTGACAAATTCATCATGCAAGCACGGGAAAATCATTTCTGGACGAGTAATAAACGACTTTTTATTATACTTCCATGAAAATATAATAATAAAATATTACATCAAAAAGACACAAAAGAAACTTGGAACATTTTTATTTTCACAGTTGTAGGAATGAAAAAACTTGGAACTACTAGACCTGGATTTTACTGGTGATAAATTCGAGGCCGCTTGCTCTAGGATATTATCAGGAATTTCGGAATTATTTTCAGAGTTCATTTTGTCGGCATAAATTTGATTGGCAGAGAATCAGGATGAACAGAAGATGGTGTAGAAACTCCTATCAAATCCCATCTACTATTTTTCGGTCAAAGTTCTCGACCTACGGCCTACTTGAGAGAAGGATTCTTTTCAATATTGCGGAATAAAGGTCGCATTTTACCCGTTAGATGGCGAAATCTCAACCAAAATTCAAGGTTGGTAGAACTGATGATAATTAAAATTCCCCAACATTACAGATTCGTACTTTCAAATTTAATCTCATTTGATTTGAGGTTATGTTATGAATGTTATGCTATTATTATTTCTGGTGCAAGCGGTGTGCAAGCGCCATTTTCTGTTTTCTGTCATAGAATTAACCTGTAAAAAGTATCGCCAACTGAGAACTAATATGCCATTTTTAAGGAACCTACGGTCAAGCGTTTTGGGAGAAACAAAATACTGTCTGTGATTACACCATATTCTATTCACCTTGCAGAGAATAAACAATGCTGACAATACAGTGTTTGGCATGTATGATTCGTTTCCATGGTTATTCTCAGTTTTTCCGTGCGCGCACATTTTTTTGACGATAATATTCGGTAGGTTGTCCATCGGGACGCCACTGGATTAAATGATTCCAATTGAATTATGGGTATATCAGCCCCTTATGACAAAAATATCATTGCCATATTTCAAGAGAATCGGTGGATAGACATTTGAGATATTCATAAAAAACCGATCTTTTTCAAAAGTTTTAACACATTGTATGTTGAAAACTGTGCATTACCCGGCATTTCCGGACCTACGTTCATATGAAATGAATTTTTTATTTCATTACGTAGAATCACCCCCTTGATTGTTTGCGAATAATTTCCGGACACCCTGTATATCCATTTTTTTTGTGTTCATAAATACACTCACATGCAAAAACAACGCAACAAGTAAAATATTTGGTAAAATTTGAAGTCTCATACTGTGGATAAATTCATTAATTTCAACTGGCTCATTAGTCATTATACAGGGTTAACTAGAAGTATGTTGATATACCCTAATTTTAAAACATCCTGTGGAATAATTTCGTGGTCAAATTCTTTCAAAATACCAATTTTTGTTAAGAACCGATCCTTTTCAACATTTTGTTGTTTGGTTCAAGTCTTTAGGTGCACTAGTTGATTATTAAGAAGGAAATGAACTTATCATCAACGTTTACTTTGAAAAATGTAATTTTTTGAAGAGGTGGCTTTGCTCGTTGTTGTCCTAATGTCAGTTTGACAGTGAGAGACCTTAAGGAACTCGAACCATGGTTTTAAGTGCGGAAAATTGCGCAAAAGCTGTCGCTCTTGTTGAAGATGGACGTAATTATGAATATGTTGCAATGATACTTCATGTTCATCGCTCAACCATCAAAAGAGTAATCGAACGTTTTAGACAAACTGGCAGAAATAAGCGTAGGGCAGGTAGTGGCAGAAAACGAAAAACGACTGCTATTGATGTCAGATTACTTCATGTAAATACTCTGCGGGATCGTCATTTAACATCAGTGCAGTCTAGAAATCAACTTCAAGAGGTTCGAGGTACACAAATGTTAGTGTGTGGACAGTTCGCCGAAGATTGAAGGAGTTTGGTTTGAAAGCTTGCAGACCAGCAACGGGACCCAAATTACTTCCGCGTCACCGAATAGCTAGACTGAAATTTGCTACTGAACATTTACATTGGAACTTGGGGCAATGGAACAATGTTCTTTTCACTGACGAATCCAGATTCTGCTTACATTCTCCAGATGGACGGAAAAGAGTATGGAGAAGGAACGGAGAAAGATGTGCAGAATGCACGTTCAGTCCCCATCTGAGTTATGGAGGAGGTTCAGTAATGGTTTGGGCAGGAATATCCAGGGAGGCCTGCACTGAGTTGGTGGTCATCGATGGATCTTTAACGGCTCACCGATATATTGAAGAGATGTTGTAGCTTTTAGTGGATTTATCGGCCATGACTTTATCCTGATGCAGGATAATGCGCGGCCACATACAGCAATTTGTGTCACACAATACCTCGCGGAAGTAGGTATTAACAAACTGAACTGGGCAGCATGTTCGCCTGATCTCAACCCCATAGAGCATGTGGGGGACATGCTTGGTAGGCGAGTCAGAGATCATGAAGTAGCTCCGGCTACCATAAATGAACTTCGTTTAGCCATTCAGGAGGAATGGCAAAATATTCCACAAGATGCTATTCGAAACCTAATTGACAGTATGAACCAACGTATGCAGGCAGTTGTGAGAGCCAGAGGTCGTAATACAAAATATTAAGCTGATTTTGTTGTAAAAAGTACGTTTCCTCATCAGGTTATTTAAGATACAGTTGAACTGGTTTGTTTTGAAGTTTGATTTTTAATTTGAATTGAATTATAACTAAACAATATATTGCTGCCATTTCATTGTAACACTCATGAACTGAGCTGTCATACTGACATTATGGCACAATGAACAAATCCATGTCGTCAAAAAATAACATTTCTTAAAATTAGGTAAACTCTGTTGTTTGGAGATCATTTCCCTCTTAAAAATCAACTGAAGCAACTAAAGACTTGAACCAAAAAACAAAATGTTGAAAAGGATCGGCTCTTAACAAAAATTGGTATTTTGAAAGAATTTGACCACGAAATCATTCCACAGGATGTTTTAAAATTAGGTTATATCAACATACTTCTAATTAACCCTGTATAATGACTAATTGATTGATTGTCTTTATTACCCCAAGAAACATTATTGTTTATAATAGGGATATATACAATAAAACATACATATTATAAAACATAATAAATCGAAACAATAATAATTGCACAATTATTGTTTTTCTTAAAAAAAAAAAAATGAATTATAATAAAATATAAAATGAAAATATCATAATCCATTACAAGTAATCAAATTGTGAATGATTAGTACTATTAGTAGATGGAATTAAAGTTTACTGAGCAGATATTTCTTTAATTTCATTTTAAATTTTTCTGCTTCTTCTATATTTTTCAACTCATTAGGTAAGGAGTTATACAAAATTATTCCACAGTTTGCTGAAAAAATTTTGGAAATTGAAGTAAAAATAAAAAAACTATGAGACTTCAAATTTTACCAAATATTTACTTGTTGCGTTTTTTTTGCATGTGAGTGTATATCTGGGAATATTCCTTTTTGATAAAAAGAGAGGCTTTACAACGTACCCAACAGGCCCTGGCTCGCATGTGCCCCCTGTCGCTCCTGAACTCCGGGAACACGTACTTGACGAACAGCGTGTCGAGCTGATCGCGGTACACCTTCTTCTTGAGCAGCACGTCGGCCAGCGAGCCGACCATGTGCAGCGCGCCGTCCTTCTGCGCAGGCTCCGTCGCCGCGTTCGTCAACACTTGCGTCAGCATCAGCATCGTCTTTTGCAGCACGCCTTTGCGCTTCTTGCAAGAGGAATGGAGGAGGGTCTGCGAGGCGGTTACTGGGGACACGAAGTCCTCGAACACGTCTAGAAGAATTAGGACGGTATTCGGTTATTTTTGTCACGCTTTTATTGGCTTTTTCTAAATTGAATATAAAATAGTAGCTACTTTATACAATGGAACAATTCTCTATATAGAATTACCTGCCAGACTGAAGAAAAAATTAAGTGTTGAGAAATTCAAATTTTATTTTTTTTTTTAGTTGCTCTTTCATAATTTTCCCTGCTATCTAATATACAAGGTGATTCTAAAATAGGTGGTCAAACTTTGGGAGCAGATAGAGTGGATGAAATAGTTACGAAAACCTCCGTAACATTTTTTTCTGAAGTGCCCCCCAAGAAAGATACAGCTCCTCGAAGGGGGGCCTTGGAGAATGATTATGTATTATTATCTTCAACACCTTGTATAATGAAAATCTGAAATTTTTTCCATCCACTTACTATTCAGTGCCGGTTCGAATGGAGTTAAATTCACCTCAAAATTAAATACAGGGGTGTGTCAAAATAGGGAGGTAGGAGGTAAAAATAACCCCAAATATTTTTTGTACATCGCAATTTTTTTACATGAAATTATGGAATCTCAGGGCTATTTACATAGGAAAGGTGCTCTTGATGCATCTCGATAAAACGAATTATCAGCGAATATAATTTATTTTTTCAAGATTTCATTTAAATTGCGATTTTGGTATGTGCTGCAGTTTAATTATCTAGGTCAAATCTCGCAACTGAATTTTTACCTACTTCTAATCGTCTGATCAACTTAGAATCTGGCAGATGACAGTTTACAATGCGTTTTGGCGGCTCCAATGTGGATGACCAGATTTGTGATTATGGTCTCTTCCGTTCAAATGCTCCAGGAAGTGGAAGAAGATATCTAGAAGCATATTTTTCTAATTTTTAGAGCATTCACCTTATTTCATCTTCAATTTTTTTATTTCAATAGTTAAAATGGTAAAAGCTTGGTTTTAACAATACTTTTTATTTTAGTATTTTCAATAGGATCAATTTAATTATGAGTGATTTTAACTCCATTCGAACCGGCACTAAATAGTTAGTGGATAAACAAAATTTTAGATTTTCATCATACAAGGTGTTGGAGATAATAATACAAAATCATTCTCCGAGGCCCCCCTTTGAGGGGCTGTATCTTTCTTGGGGGGCACTTCAGGAAAAAATGTTAACGAGGTTTTCGTAATTATTTCACTCACTCTATATACTCCCAAAGTTTGACCACCTATTTTAGAATCACCTTGTATAAAATTCTCCTGTCCCGGTCACGGTGTTAGTGGTCAACTCCTCCGAAACGGCTCGACCGATTCGTATGAAATTTCTTGTGCGTATTCAGTGAGTATGAGAATCGGTCGTAATCTATTTTTCAAATCGAAAATTCAAGATGGCGGAATCAATATGGCGGACGAGTATTGTTATACGATTTCATTCAATATTGGTATTTGGGGGTTTTCGGGGTCGGAGATTATGATTCATTCATCAAATTTTGGAAATTCAAGATGGCGGATCCAATATGGCGGACGAGTTTTGTAATTATGGTCAGATTCCATTCCAAATTGGTATCTGGGGGTTTTCGAGGTCGGAGATTATGATTTCTTCATTAAAATTTAAAAATTCAAAATGACGGATCCAATATGGCGGACGAGTTTTCTAAATATGGTCAGAAAGAATTAGAGAATAAGTAGAATAGTATGAAAAACAAAAGAATCCCGTTTTCATGGATAGCCGAACTAAAAAGAAGTATAAATAAAATAAAAGTTATTTGACAAATATTCATGTCAAAACGTTTTTTCTAGAAATAATGTTATGGCAAAACAACGTTTGCCGGGTCAGCTAGTAAACATACAGTGTGTCCCACTTACCATGCTCACCGTGGGTATCTTTTAAACGGTGAGAGATACGAAGTCGGTTAAATGACACCAAATGTGGAGTTTGTCAAGGCCAACTATAATGTGAAAAAATATTTTGATAAAATCTATTCGTTTTTGTTTTATACGCATAAAACAGATTTTGATCATTTTCATGTCTCCTCCGTAACTTCTTTATTTATGAAAATATTCAAATAGGAATTTCACATCCTCATGGCAGTTTTTCAAAGTGATTACGAAAAAAATATGAAATTTATACCAACTCTTCTAGAATTTGAGATATCAGCACCAACTTCAGTTTTTCAAATGTAGGTCATAGTTCACTATGACTTAGTTACAAATAACTTTTTTTTTCTTACAAATGATATGTCGCAGTAGTAGTTTTGTGTTGATAACAACGGAGTTGTCATTTATACAAAAACAAAAAATTATTTGGAAGCCGCCATCCTGAATTTATAAATTTTAACAAAAAAATCATGATCTTCGACCTCAAAAACCCCCACTTACCAATTTTGAATGGAATCGGACCAAATCTTGTCCGCCATCTTGGAGAAGCCATTTTTTTTTAATTTCAACAAAAAATCCATAACTCCGATTAACTTGAAATTTGGCTGGTGTTCATAATTTCGGTGACGATACATAATGGATTTTTTGATAAATTTTAAAAAAATTGCTGCTCCAAGATGGCGGACAAGATTTGGTCCGATTCCATTCAAAATTGGTAAGTGGGGGTTTTTGAGGTCGGAGATCATGATTTTTTGTTGTTAAAATCTATGAATTCAAGATGGCGGCTTCCGAATAATTTTTTGTTCCTGTATAAATGACGATAACTCCGTTGTTATCAACACAAAACTATTACTGCGACATATCATTTGTAGGAGAAAAAAAGTTATTTGTAACTAGGTCATAGTTAACTATGACCTACATTTGAAAAACTGAAGTTGGTGCTGATATCTCAAATTCTAAAAGAGTTGGTATAAATTTCATATTTTTTTCGAAATCACTTTGAAAAACTGCCATGAGGATGTGAAATTCCTATTTGAATATTTTCATAAATAAAGAAGTTACAGAGGAGACATAAAAATGATCAAAATCTGTTTTTTGCGTATAAAACAAAAACGAATAGATTTCATCAAAATATTTTTTCACATTATAGTTGTTGGCCTTGACAAACTCCACATTTGGTGTCATTTAACCGACTTCGTATCTCTCACCGTTAAAAAGATACCCATGGTGAGCATGGTAAGTGGGACACACTGTATATGTTTCTTGGGAATAGTAAAGATTATTATTATTATTATATTCTAGGGACATATTTTTCAAGTCAACTTTTTCTTCGTATAAATATGTGTCCGCAAACGCTTCGTTACCGATACACAGAGCATTAAAGTTTAGAGATTTTTTTTCTAGCACCTATAAAAAGTCAAGGTTTGTTAGGTTTCTTGTATTTCAGGTATTGTTTGGAAACTTGTATTTAATATCACGAACTTGATATGTAGCGGTGTTTGTTTGGAATGTGATAATAGGTTAATATACAAGGTAGAGACTACTGACGGAGTGAAGGATTTTTCTGAAAATTCGCGAGACACGTTTACAACCATATATGTAATGTTGTCATTACTAACGTCATTATTGATGCAGCCTAACGCAGCACATTTTACCATCTTTCCAAAACAGAATTGAATAATGTCATATCAAGATCAAGTATGAAATTAAAATTTTGTAAGATCTCTTTTAACGCCTATGAATGTGACGTGACAGCAATGTCATGTCAGGGACGCCAATACACGAAACCAAAGTCACTAGATGATCGAAAGAGAAAGGAGCTATGATCTGCCCGTACCCTGTTAGATGACAAATACGTCAGTTTGCATCAAGTGACCCTAACTGGAACAGGCCCATTAAACGAACGCCCACTCACCGAACTTGACTCTAATGTATTCGTGCGGATCGACCGTCCACAGCTCGTGGTCCTCGGCCGAGTAGCTCATCAGCGGGAAGAGGACGTCCTGTATGATGGCGGGCATGTGCGGCTTGAGTATCTTCCAGGTGTGACCGTGGGAGACGGCCTGGTTGAGGTAGTTGAGAGTTTGTTGGAGGACGCGAGGCGGCACCCAATGCCCGCCTCGGTAGCTGTCGAGCACGCGCAGTAACACCTGCGCACATTAATTTTATTATTTATTTATGTTCTGGTTCCCACGAAAAGGGATATCGTGAGAATCAAGGGAAATGAGGTAGGAATTGGTGTTCTTCTCAAATTTCTGGAGGTTACATGCCTCGGGAAACACCTCCCTTGGCAATGTGTTCCAGAGCCTCGCTGTTCGTTGGATGAACGAGTCTTTGGAAAGCGATGTTCTGCAGGTCTCCAAAGTGACCACGAAGGGGTGCGAAGCTTCAACTCGACTGGTTAATCTCGCGGGAACTGCCCAGGGAGGAAAAATTGTTGATATTTCAGAAGAGCATTGTCCATGGAAATATCTATAAAATAGAGCCAGATCGCCAACTTTTCTACGATGTTCCAGAGAAGTGAGTGAGTTTGTGAGCGAGGCATCACCCACGAGACGAATTGCCCTTTTTTGGACAGAATCCAACAGTTTCATGGTATGTTTGGGTGCTGCACTTCAAATATGGGAACAGTATTCTAGGACAGGTCGGATCTGTGCCTTATAGATCATAAGTAGCTGACTGAAAGTGAAATAGCTCCTGGCCCGAAACAGAAAACCAAGTTTTTGTGATGCACTTTTAGCAATTGATCTCACGTGATTTTCCCAAGAAAGGTTATTGCAGTAGTAGTAATACCAAGCATTGAAATGGATGTCTTCAAAAGTATGGTTACTCCTGACAAGCTTATGTTGGGCACAGTGAGATCGGCTTTTCTAGAGAAAAGGTATGCTTGTGTTTTCTTTGCATTGAAATCTACCAAGTTATTGGCTCCCCATTCGAGAATTGTTGCCAAGTCCATATTCATGTTGTCAACATTTCTCCCTCAGCCAGGCTGGAATTGGAGCCCTGGAAGATAAGGTGGTATGGATGGTACTATCATCCGCGAAGCTGTGTACTGGACATGAAGTTGCTTCCAAAAAATCGTTGATATGGAGTAGAAATAGTGTTGGGAATTGATCCTTGCGGAACACCAGCATTTATGATAAGAGAGTCAGATGAAACTCCGTCGACCACTAAGGCCCTCCCCGCACACGGGTCGATCGGCGACATGGGCGACGCGATTCGAATCGTACGACGGTCGACGGTCTTCCCTCTACTCGACTTCCTAAGCAAAGCATCTGGATCCCACACACGGGTCGTTTAGTGGTCGTCAAGAAACGTACGATTTAAGATCTCCTCGTTTTCAGTCTCACGCGATTAGCAAGGAAGCAGTTTGATCGAGTGAATCTTGCGTCTCAATGGAGAAAGTTGTTCAATAATTTTTCAATCATTGTGAATATTTGTGTTACCTACCTTAGTTCTTTACTTTCAGTAACTAGAACATATAATCTTATGTTTCCAATTTATACTCTCAACTTTAGGAACTGTTTGATTTTTTGAGATACATGACTCTTACATCAATGTTATTAGTATGTGTTCTTTCGCGCTGACACATTCCCTCATATTTGAATCCATATAATTTATGGCTGGAGCAAGAGTTTCCACTAAATCAATATATGATTCCTTCGACATTCTATAAAATGCCAGAAATTTTGTGTCACTCTCTTGCATTTCACTTGCAGTAACAAAAAGTCGAGTGTGAAAATTTCGTGCAATGTACGGATGCACCCATGAACTTCGTTGTCTTCTTCTTCTCCTGATTTGCCGGTGCCACAAAAACATGAATATGTCCTCCTCGCCATTGGAACTGCTCATTTTTAGCGAAACATTTCTTTTTGAAGTTGCAAAAAATAGAGTAACTAAGTTGATCAGACGCGAGTCGACTACACAAAACGTCGACCCATATGCGGATGACACACACTCCCGTCTCTTGAATCGTACGAATGCAGAAATTGTGACGTCATTGCAATCGCGTCGCCCATGTCGCCGATCGACCCGTGTGCGGAGGGCCTAAATGGAGAGACCTGTTTGAGAGAAAAATAGCTAGCAGAGAACATAGCTGGGGTTCAAGCCATAAGATGGAAGCTTGGCGAGGACTCCGTTATGCCAGACTCGATCGAATGCCTTGGAGATATCAAGTGCCACGGCTAAGGTTTCACCATATTTTCCACATTGTGTCGTAGTACCGTAGTTAACTGAAAAAGTGTCTTGCCTTGTCATTTTTTCAAGTTTGTAGAAAAAATGTTGTTCATACAACGAAGAGAAAAAAAAGGAAAAAGAAAAGAGTCGGGTTGGAAGCTGTTCCTAGGATGCCGGAGCTGAACGTCTGCAGGATGTTTGCTCGATTGAAGACCATAGTGTTAATATATAAAAATCTCATATAAACTGGGCGTCAATTGAAACGTTAATAGTGAAATTTGGCATCAAGTTTGACTTCTCGTAATTTCTAAAATATTGAACGAATTTTGAATTGCCGCCCAGATTCTGAATGCCTTTTCCATCGTCTTTCGAACCGTTCCTTACAGCTTCTTCTAAATCGATCAGGACCCGTGATACAGTGTGAAACAAAGTTTCGTGCATTTTGAAAAGAATTTCTCCCCCCCCCCCCCCCCATTTTGTCGGAAGACCACGATGCTCATATTTCATTCAGGCATTTCATAAATAGCAACCATACCTCGGGACATTTTCGAGTTTTTGCCAAAAACTACAGTGGTTTCCGAAAAAATTTTTTTTTTGCATTTTTTTTTAATGGACTGATTACCTGTATCCTCAAAACGATGAATCAGTCTATTTATTGTCATGACTGACTCATTGAAAATGGTACTCAAAGAGTTTGGGTATATCCTAATCGTCATAACCTGAAATAATAATTATCTGTACTGAATTATAGTTTATATCACTATAGTGATCTTACCTAATGATATTTCCCATTTCGACCCGATTTGAACAAGTCATCTTTAAATTTTTCAGGACCTGATTTACACTGACGTTTTCATGAAAATTGGCAATTGATATAACTTCTATGCATACCTACATTGTTTCAACAATACCTTGTTACAGACACAAGGTATCGTTGTTTGATTTTGTTGATGAGATGTGTTGATTTACTGCTCACTAAGGTAGAAAACTTTCGTCATAGACTGCGAAATAATAAATTATTGATTGTTTTTGAGTAGCCTGGTATACATATCTGCTCCAACGCTTTCCTGAAATGCATAAAAGCATCCAATTATGGAACTCCTCTAAAATTAGTCCATTTAAAAAAAATACAAAAACATTTTGTTTTTCGGAAAACGTCCCGAGGTATGGTTGCTATTCATGAAATGCCCGAATTGAATATGAGCATCGTGGTCTTCCGACAAAATGGGGGGCGGAGAAATTTTTTTCAAAATGCACGAAACTTTGTTTCACCCTGTATCATGGGTCCTGATCAATTTAGAAGAAGCTGTAAGGAACGGTTCGGAAGACGATGAAGAAGGCATTCAGAATCTGGGCGGCAATTCAAAATTCGTTCAATATTTCAGAAATTACGAGAAGTCAAACTTGATGCCAAATTTCACTATTAACGTTTCAATTGACGCCCAGTTTAGTTTACATACAATGCGCGAAGTATGTACTTCGTTTTACTTCGCGCACTGCTTCGCACAAGGTGTCGTAGTAACGTAGGAAACTGAAAGAAAGTGTCTTGCCTTGTCATTTTTTCAAGTTTGTAGAAAAAATGTGTTCATACAACGAAAAAAAAAAAAAGAAAAGTGTCGGATTGGAAGCTGACCTCTAGGATGCCGGAGCTGAACGTCTGCAGATACCATTCGGCGAACTCGTTGTACTCCTTGGTGACGTGGCCGGGACTGCCGTAGCGCTCGAACATCCTGTACAGCACGTGCAACGCCCACTTTTTGCACTTCCACCACGGCAGGTCGGGCCGCTCGTCCTCGTCGGGTTGCAGAGCGGCGGGCGGCACGGGACGTTCCACCACCTAAGGGATAGCTCTTTATAAGTAAGTCCTTTGATACTGGCACTATTCTACACTGTCGTAAACCAGCCAAGACAATGCTTTTGTATAGGGTGTCCTGAAATATCTTAGAAAGATTTCAACCACAGATTCTAGGATCCTACCTAATAAGCTTTGTCCAACTAATTGAAATTTTTTTACTACCTATATCAATTGTAAAATTTTTTCTCTCTCTATTTTATATAACTGACCTGTAAAGGCACTTTTGCGTAATACTTTGCCAATAAATAAACTAAACTAAACTCAACATTAAGTCAACATGGGTTTTGTACTAAGATGAGTGCTGATACAGCTTTGAATACTACTCAAAATTAAGTCGTCTGTAGGTTGGACGAAGGTAACCACGTAAGTGGACTTTTTATAGACTTTTCCAGACCCTTCGGATGTAGTTGACCATAGCATCCTACTGGTTAAACTTGAAAGATATGAGATAAGAGCATTCCTCTGAAATTTTTTCAATCCTATCTCGTCAATTTAAATCAGGTTGTTTTGCTCAATGATATTCCCAGTCCCTCTTGTAGCATCGCACAGGGTGTTCCACAGGGAATTTGATAATGAAAATGTGAACAAACCATTATTTATTAAGATATTTCACTATAAAGTTACGAATTTCACCTTCTTTTCCGCCTGTCTTCTGGATTGCATTTAAAACAATTTACCCTTCTTTTTTCATCATTGGACAATTTATCTATATCACAATGTAAGACACATTTTTTTCTATATTATTGAGTCAACTAGAAATATGATTTTCTTGTGATTTATCCATATTTAGTGAAAAGAAGGAAGAATATCATTTAAAATAATGGCGTGTGTAATGTCATTCAAAAGCACTCTGTTGACATTTGACATCTCGTATTTGGATTGACTATTAATTAAATGGCCGTCATCTGGTATGCTTGTTCACTGAATATGAAAAACTCGCCATAAAAATCATATTTCCTGTTGAATTTTCTGTATAAAAATGTGTCATTGAAGTACATCATGAGTATATAAAGTGTCCAATGACAAAATAAGAAGAGCAAGTACCTGTAAATGCATCCAACACAAGGGGAAGAAGGAGTCGAAATTTCGAACTTTTTTTTGAAATATCTCGATAAATAGTGGTTTGTTCACATTATCATTGTCAAATTCGTGTTTTTCAGACAAAAATACGTAAGTACCAAAAAAATTTCAGTTGCATGCAGTTTTACCGCAGTTAAGTAATTGGAAGAAATCAAAAAATATCAAGAAGTAAAAGTTGCAATAGAAAGTTCAAATTCGAGACAAGTGTAAAATTAGAATAGAAAAAACTTTTCTAAGTAAACTTTTTTGAAATTCAAGCAAATAAACCTATTTTCAGAGATGATTTGAAAAAAAATGTAACTTGATATGTAGCGAAAAGTCACATGACCTCTATCAGTAGGTCATTTTTCATTTTTTTCAAAGCATGTAGACTTTTCAAATAAACAATTATCAAAAGTTTTTCCCATACGATGCCATCTTCATGAAAGACACTGTATATGGTTTGTTCTGTTCTTTCGGTTTTTATTTGAAGTTCATCTGCTTAATCTCACTCACCTGTCTACAAACTTCCATCCACTGGGCGAAACACTCCCTGCTGATCAGGTCCAGGGGCAATATGTACTGTGTGAGAGCGAAATACACCTTGAGTCCTTGCTTCTGCAGCAGCACCGATTGCTCCGAAGGATCGGGCAGTAAGCGGACCTATTCATTAAAAAAAACTCAGCATTTGAAAAGATGCCGCCAATCAGGAAATGTGACGAATTCAAAATTAGAGCTCGACTTGATAGCTAGCAGGTGTCTATTATTTGGTGGAAATGCCATTTGATACTAGCGTGAATAGCAAGACCAAGATGGTGTCTTCAAGATGGCCGACAAATTTGTTATTTCCCAAGCGATTTTTTTTTTATCGATTGGAGCGCACGAAAGGGAATCCCTGTAATGGTCTGACAATTCATATCGGGGGGGATTTTTGAGGCAGGGCAATACGAATTTGCAGTGAAATGTCATGTGGTGAAGATAACGCCTACAAAATGGTGAACGATTCAGTCATTTGACAAACAATTTTCATAAAAATTTATGACTGGAGTCAGTAACTAAGATGTCGCCTGTCAGGAAATGTGAGGAATTAAAAAATTATCAGAGCTTGACTTGATAGCCTGAAAGGTACATAATACTTGGTGACAATGCCATTTGATACTAGAATCGATAACAAGATCAAGATGGCGTCTCCAAGATGGCCGAGAAGTTTGTCGATTCTTGACCTATTGATATGAAAATTCATTTATGCGGATTTTGGGGGCAGGAGAATACGAATTTGCAGTAAAATGTCTGAAGGGTTTATAGGACGGATTTCCTGACAGAATTCGGGTAGTACAGACGAAAAAACGTAGCCAGTCAGGAATACAAATCGAGGAATACAAATTTCCACTCAAAACATGGTAGTTCAAGAAAGCAGACATCGGTATTAGATCCCCTTATACTTTTCAACGATTATAAATACTCGAATAATTATAAATTATTGTGAATTAAACAAAAAAATACAGTGTATGTCGATTGCCAATAAACCCTTGATCATTATTGACAGTCTATGAATACAAATTTACACTTTGAACATGAAAGTTAAAGATAGACGAGAGATCGGATGTATATTAGGCCCCTCAATATTTTCAACTTACATAAACTCTCAAATCATTATAATTTATTGTAAGTACAAGGTGGGGCAGCACATACGGAGAGACGGAGTTTAGGGTGTTCAAAATCAAGATTTTTCAACTTTAGGATTTTTTTGTGTCGAAACTATTCAATAGCGGTCAAAACGGCTTACATGTCCCTATAACAGGGTTGGAATAAGTCATGACTTTTATAAAAAAGTCATCAAAGTCCGACTTTTTGAATTAAGTCAGACTTTTTGGAATTAATTCATTTGAAAAAAAAAACAAATTTCATTTACCCAAAGCGAAATAGAAAAAAAGAAACAAAAAACTATGTTTTTATTCCCTCCAGAAATCTTGTAGAATAACATCATAATATAACATGTCATTTTTTCAAAACAAAATTAAAAGTGATGATAGAATACAAAATAATAGATACATATAGATCCAGTATCATCCATTAAGTTCGTAACACATGGAGAAAAAGTTTAATAGTAGAATATCGAAACATTTTTTCTCGGGGATCTATTATGCATGTCTGACTACTTAAAAGTCGATTTTGACACATGTCACATGGTCACTGGTATGGCGGTAAATTCAAAAAAATACGATGGCAAAAAGTGGGGTTAGATGGGAAGATGAAGTTATTTAAAAAAAATAAAAATAGCTATTTTCAGTTTTCTCAAATAATGGCTGGAAACTCCATATGTGAGCATGAAATTGACTTCTATTCAACTAGTACATCATCAACATCACTGCTGTCAGAAAAAAAGAGAATTGTAACAAAATTGAAGAATATTCGAAAAAATATAGCTATTTCCAATTCTCCTCCAAAAATTGCTCGAAACTGAATGTGGAATAGCAACTTAATGAGAAATGTTTATGGATATTTTGTTATCTAACCCCACTTTTCGTCGCTTTATAGTATTATTTTTATTTATTACCATACCAGTGATCACGTGACATGTATCAAAATCGATTTTCAAGTTATCGGACATGCATAATGGATCGCCGAGAGAAAAAAATTCGATGCTGTGATAATAAACCTGTTCTCATATGTTATGGACTTTATGGATGATACTTGATACTGTATATATCTGTTAGTAAAAATCTCTGTCATGCTTGAAATAACAAAGTCTTGCCAAAATACGATCAAATTCTTCAGTTTAAACTAGTTAAAATCAAAGGTAATAGTGCAATTTGTCTCATTTTTAAAAATTTTAATGAATTCATGACTTTTTCGAAAAAAGTCAATGGAATTAATTCACGAATTAAATCACTGATTTAATTCATATGAATTAATTCATGCCAACCCTGCCCTATAATATATCCCTTTTAATTCACTCTCTACCGACATTTAATTGAAACAATACACAATGTCTCACTTACCTCGAGCTGGTACAATTGTGGTAGCAACAGGTTCATGGCCTCGTGCAGGGGGCCTCTCTCCTCCGCCTTTTTGTACTCGAAATTTTTGACTAGCTGGTAGAGGCACAGCAGCGACCCCAGCCAACCGCTGGGATCGGGATTCGATAAATATACACTGATCTGAATGGAAAATCATATATGACAATCGGAGAATCCTGTTTTCCACAAATAAATTCGTTATTCACTCTAAGACCTGAAGGTATGTAGGTCAAACTTGGAGGCACGTTAAGACTAGGTTCAAAGGACATCTTTTAAATTTCAAACTATGACAAATGGATAGGGAAGCTATTCCATGACGAGATTTCAAAGAGATGATTGAGTTAGAGCATTCCACTGAATTGATGAAGAGATAAATACTTCAGTTTGTCAAAAGTTAGCAAAAAATCGTATATAGGTCGATGTTTTTTTGCGGCCAAATATGAATCACAATCGGAAAGTCGCTATTTTGAAAGGTTATTAAAAACAGATACAATTTCCATTGAAATATGCTTATTTGGTTTGAATTAGTAGATGGTCTTAGTAATCTTGTGCTTTAGCATATTCAATCTCCGAGAAAAAATTTAGAATGATAAAAAATACATAAAAGATAAAATAAAAATAAAAAATGAAAAAAAATAAGCAAGATTAAGTTTGAAGAGTTTCCAAGACTTGATAAAGATAATTCGAAACGTCACCCTTTCTGATAACACAAAATTCATTTCATTGGATCTATAAAAGCTATTTCCAATTATAACAGCAGAAGATACTATAATTTTAGTCAAGGAGTTATTAGATAAAAAACATGATAATCCTATTATCAAAGAAGAGATTCTGAACCTTCTGTCGATATGGGAAATCCATTCAGCCCTTTACTTGCTGAAATTTTCATTTATAACCTGGAGCAATTTAAATAAACATCCACTCATAATAGTTATTATTGTACCAAGGACGAAAAACTGTCTATTATAGTCGAGTCCGCAAATTGATAGCCGAGGCTAGCAATCTGACGAGACAATAGACAGTTCTTCGCCGAGGTGCCTATTAAATTTTTTCTCCGACCTCAAACACCTATATCCACATCACTGTCCTATTCACACGTGAAATCTATCAGATTTCGTGAATAATCATGCAATTTATATATGTATGTGATTAACTAAAGATTAATAATAATATAGGTAATTATAAGGGCCGGGTAGCCGTGCGGACAGAGTGTCTATATTCTAATTCGCATTCGCTTGCCGGTCGTGGGTTCGATCCCCGTCGACTGCAGAAATTTTTCTGATGGCCCAAGAAAGTGTTTAGGATCACACGTTAAAAGGTAAGGCCCCCGTCATTCCTTGCTCGCACAAGACTTTCGAAGACTTTTGAGGGTTGCTCTTAAGGGGGCAACCGAATGACGGATGGAACAAATTTTAGAACAAAAATTTTTTAGAACATTGATGTTAAATCTTGCTCATCTTTTGGAAAATGTCAAAGAGCTGTAAATGATTATAACTGTGATATAAATATTTTTACATTTAGTAGTAGCGAAATAAAAGGCTGTTCTCCACCTCTATAATATCCTCAAAATTCTTAGTTATAGGCTATATATGTTCAATAATTTTGAAAAAGTTTGTCATGATTTTATATCTTAACTCAACTGTTTTCCCAAAACTTGAGTGTATTGTAATCTTTCTGTGTGTGTGTAGTGTATTTTTCTTTTTTTTGTGAGTAGTGTATTTTACTGTAGGATAGGAACCGAGATAGGAACTGTCTGTCTGTAATTGGGCCATGGCCTGTTGATTTGGCAGTATAAATAAAGTGATATACAGGGTGTCCCAACGAAAACTTTCCACCCGGATTTACTGGGAAATGACAAATTATTTTCGGAAACGCTGAAACACGTCGATTTTGATTTCTAGGGGGACACAGGTCAGTGATGAATTTAGTCACGCAACTTCATCCCCCTGACAGGGGCGGCTACCCCATTGCGAATCATCATAGGGAACTTGGGTCGAGTGATACATCATCTTCAAGCTCTCGTCATTCTCTATCCAAACGTCCATAATTTTTCCAAAATAGAATGAATGGTGATTGAAATTAGTGTTGTTGACAGGTTCAATGTAAGTAGTCAATATCTTACCTGTTCCTATTCAAATTAAATTTATTAACTATTTTAAGACTCAATGAGTGGACAGATAGACAATAGCAACATCCCATCCGGTCAGGTAATCCAGTCACCCCACGAAAAACGAAAACAAATTAGTTAAAACAAAGTAAGTAGCCAGGTTGGGACTATTAATTGCGAAGATCTTTCAACCAAGTATCAGTTTTATGTCGCTATTCGCGAATACAACATCACAAGCGGAAGATGCCCACCCCAATTGTGAGCGAAACGTCCAAAGGAACCTCCTCCACAGAGGTGAACCGACCACGGCACTGAAGCCCGGAAACCATATTTCTTAGTTTTTGTTCTGTTGACTTTTTCATAGACAAAAAATACCTGTTTTTTATGGTTCTCCTGCGTGTATGTTCTCAGCATGAATTCACAGTTCGCATGATTCTTCTGGAAATATCATTTGATTCGTATTCTGTGAGTTAAGTTTCTGCCTGACAATGGTTTACGCATTAGAAGAACGAATTGAGTTAGTGAAACTTTACTACAAAAATGATGATTGTCTAAGAGCTGCAGCTAGAATTTTCAATACAAGGCATCTAGGGAAAAATGCATCTCATACCTATGTTCAAACGTTGATTGAGAAATTCGAAAGAACTGGGTCTGTGGGAAACCAGAAACATCATCCTGAACGTCTGATAAGGAACGAGGCTGTTGAGATTGCGGTTTTGGGGCACGTGGCTATGGATCCTACTCAAAGTATTAGAAGCTTGGCTGACGCGTCAGGTGTAGCGCGATCGAGTATTCAGAGAATTCTCAAGTCACATCGATTCCATCCATACAAACTAAAACTTGTACATGAACTGAACGAAGACGATTTTGACAGACGTCAACAGTTTTGTGAGGAAATGTCTGAGCGTCTGAGAACAAATCCCAATTTGCTCTTCAATATTTGTTTTTCAGACGAGAGTACATTTTTTGTTAATGGAAACGTGAATCGTCACAATTGCCGCTACTGGAGCGATACCAATCCCAGGTTAATACGTGAGGTCCACACACAAACTCCGCAGAAGTTGAATGTTTGGTGTGGTATTTTTGGCAAAAATATTATTGGACCACTTTTTATAGATGATAATTTGAATGGACAAATGTATTTACATCTTCTTGAGAATGCCATCGATCCCATGATAACGGATATTATCGAAAACGATGGAGATTATTCGGAAGACAACCTCCATTTTCAACAAGATGGAGCACCACCTCACTATGCAGTGGCGGTTAGAAACTTTCTGGATGAACGATATACCAATCATTGGATAGGGCGACGAGGACCAATTGAGTGGCCAGGTAGATCACCGGACCTCAACCCGTTGGATTATTTTTTATGGGGGCATCTCAAAAGCAAAGTTTTTGCCATTCCGCCAGAGTCACTAGAGGAACTACGTGGTCGAATTGTAAACGAGTGCGGCAGAATAACTCCAGAAGTATTGGCAAACGTTCGTAATATTTTCGAAAGTAGACTTTATCATTGTATGGAGGTAGGAGGGGCTCATTTCGAGCAATTAATAAATTGAATTTCGATAAGAACAGGTACGATATTGATTATTGAAATTAAACCTATTACCACACTAATCTCAATTACCAGTCATTCGATTTTGAAAAAATATAAACGTTTGGATAGAGAATGACGAGAGCTTGAAGATGAAGTATCACTCGACCCAAGTTCCCTATGATGATTCGCAATGGGGTAGCCGCCCCTGTCAGGGGGATGAAGTTGCGTGACTAAATTCATCACTGACATGTGTCCCCCTAGAAATCAAAATCGACGTGTTTCAGCGTTTCCGAAAATAATTTGTCATTTCCCAGTAAATCCGTGTGGAAAGTTTTCGTTGGGACACCCTGTATATATGATAATTTTAATCATAACTAGAAGTTAAAACAAGGTACTTGCATGAGGCCGTTTTCACACCAATTTTAGTCTTAAGCATAAGCACAAGCCTAAGAAACGACCTTGAAAGTTGATTAATTTGGAATTTAATGCTTATGCTTATGTTATGTGGATTCGGCGCATGCTCCTTTGATAGAATTGTTGTTTACATGTTCCGAAAATAATATTATGAGAAAGCTCAGATGTTGATAAGTTTGATAGATAATTTTCCTCATCTCTGATACAAAAAGAACCACGAATTCTCACATGACTCTTATGCTTAAAGCAAGTTTTAATGTTTCTGGATAAATACCTCAAATCTTTAAGACAAGAATTAATACTAAGACTATGCTTAGAACTAAGACTAGGACTATGCAAATGTTGTATAAATCCGCCATTTGTATTACAATTCAAAAGTTTAACGTTTGTGAAACCAAAGCGAAAATCATAATCGTTAACAAAGTAAAATTCACAATAGCGATCCGAATTTCCCAGATTTCATGAAATAAACTGGGCGTCAATTGAAACGTTAATAGTGAAATTCGGCATCAAATTTAACTTCTCGTAATTTCTAAAATATTGAACCAATTTTGAATTGCCGTCCAGATTCTGAATGCCTTTTTCATCGTCTTTCGAACCGTTCCTTACAGCTTCTTCTGAATTGATCAGGACTCGTGATACAGGGTGAAACAAAGTTTCGTGCATTTTGAAAAAAATTTCATCGCCCCCCCATTTTGTCGGAAGACCACGATGCTCATATTTTATTCGGGCATTTCATAAATAGCAACCATACCTCGGGACGTTTTCGAGTTTTTGCCAAAAACTACTGTGGTTTCCGAAAAAAAATTTTTTTTTTGTATTTTTTTAAATGGACTAATTTTAGGAGTTCCATAAATGGATGCTTTTATGCATTTCAGGAAAGCGTTGGAGCAGATATGTATACCAGGTTACTCAAAAACAATCAATAATTTATTACTTCGCAGTCTATGATAAAAGTTGTCTACCTTAGTGAGCAGTAAATCAACACATCTCATCAACAAAAACAAACAACGATACCTTGTTTCTATAACAACGTATTATTGAAACAATGTAGGTATGCATAGAGGTTATATCAATTGCCAATTTTCATGAAAACGTCAGTGTAATTCGGGTCCTAAAAAATTTAAAGATGCCTTGTTTAAATCGGGTCGAAATGGAAAATATCATTTGGTAAGATCATTATAGTGATATAAACTATAATTCAGTACAGATAATTATTATTTCAGGTTACGACGATTAGGATATACCCAAACTGATTTAAGTACCATTTCCAATAAGTCAGTCATGACAATAAATAGGCTGATTCATCGTTTTGAAGATACAGGTAATCAGGCCATTTAAAAAAAATGCTAAAAAAAAATTTTTTTTCGGAAACCACACTAGTTTTTGGCAAAAACTCGAAAACGTCCCGAGGTATGGTTGCTATTTATGAAATGCCTGAATAGAATATGAGCATCGTGGTCTTCCGACAAAATGGGGGGGCAGAGAATTTTTTTTCAAAATGCACGAAACTTTGTTTCACCATGTTTCACGGGTCTTGATCAATTCCGAAGTAGTTGTAAGGAACGGTTCGAAAGACGATGAAAAAGGCATTCAGAATCTGGGCGGCAATTCGAAATTCGTTCAATATTTTAGAAATTACGAGAAGTCAAACTTGATACCAAATTTCACTATTAACGTTTCAATTGACGCCCAGTTTACTTATCGTTTGTGACGGTTTTACAAAGAGAAGAAAGAAAACATACCTTGTCGACGATCTGCGTCCACCTTCCCGGAAAATCGTGCTTGACCATGTGATTGACGCACGTGCAAAGTTGCGTCCGTATCAAATCGGGCGCGTGTACGACTGCGTCAACGATGCTATCCCGGATGAGAGACCTGAATAGAACGGGATACGTTCATATCATGTTATTTGGTTTGATCACAAAGTATGAGCTACATTTTGTGCTCGGAATGAGTATACGTTCAGGAGCAATTTTTCCCGAGTACTAAGGGTTACGAAAAAAATCCTCAAAGAATCATTTATAGAAAAATACAATGAATTTCGGTTCAAGTTCTTAGTCTGAATATTTTTTTTTTAAATACCTAAAAATATGTTTAAAAACGAGATTTGGTATTCAAGCTTAGTCTTAGAGAAAAGAAGAAAAAGTTTACTTTCATAGTGAATTACAAAGATATGATGAACAGTACAATAGGTGAATGATGAATAGTGATAGATAGATAGATGGGAATGTTCTAAAAATGTCAGGAATGTTCTAAGAATTTCAGGAATGTTTTAAAATATGTCAGGAATGTTTTAAAATATGTCAGGAATGTTCTAGAAATGTCAGGAATGTTCTAATCATGTCAGGAATGTTCTAATCATGTCAGGAATGTTCTAATAATGTCAGGAATGTTCTAAAAATGTCAGGAATGTTCTAAACATGTCAGGATTGTCAAAAAAATTCCAGGAATGTTTTAAAAATGGCAGGGATGTGTTAAAAATGGCAGGAATGTTCTAGAAATGTCAGGAATGTTCTAATCATGTCAGGAATGTTCTAATCATGTCAGAAATGTTCTAATCATGTCAGGAATGTTCTAATAATGTCCGGAATGTTCTAAAAATGCCAGGAATGTTCTAAACATGTCAGGAATGTTAAAAAATGCCAGGAATGTTTTAAAAATGGCAGGGATGTGTTTAAAATGGCAAAAATGTTCTAGAAATGTCAGGAATGTTCTAATCATGTCAGAAATGTTCTAATCATGTCAGGAATGTTCTAAAAATGTCAAGAATGTTCTAAAAATGTCAGGAATGTTCTAAACATGTCAGGAATGTTCTAAACATGTCAGGAATGTTAAAAAATGCCAGGAATGTTTTAAAAATGGCAGGGATGTGTTAAAAATGGCAGGAATGTTCTAGAAATGTCAGGAATGTTCTAATCATGTCAGGAATGTTCTAATAATGTCAGGAATGTTCTAAAAATGCCAGGAATGTTCTAAACATGTCAGGAATGTTAAAAAAATGCCAGGAATGTTCTAAAAATGGCAGGAATGTTCTCAACATGTCAGGAATGTTCTAAAAATGTCAGAAATGTTCTAAACATGTCATGACTGTTCTAAAAATGTCAGGAATGTTTTAAAAATGTCAGGAATGTTCTAAAAATGTCAGGAATGTTCTAAACATGTCAGGAATGTTCTAAAAATGTCAGGAATGTTCTAAACATGTCAGGAATGTTCTTAACATGTCAGGAATGGTCTGAACATGTCAGGAATGTTCTGAACATGTCAGCAATGTTATAAAAATGTCAGCAATGTTCTAAACATGTCAAGAATGTTCTTAAAATGTCAGGAATGTTTTTAAAATGTCAGGAATGTTTTAAAAATGTCAGGAATGTTCTAAACATGTCAGGAATGTTCTAAAAATGGCAGAAATGTTTTGAAAATATCAGGAATGTTCTAGAAATGTCAGGAATGTCCAAAAAATGTCAGAAATATTCTAAGAATTCCAGCAATGTTCCATAATAATGACAAAGCTTGCAGGGAGTGGGCATACCGACCTGTCCTGTTCATGCAGAGCGAAGGGCATGGGCTGTCAGGGCTCTACAATGATCTCAAATGATCTGGATAGTTACTGGCATTCAAAAAACGTGCTACAAACGCCTAAAGAAAGTAAGGAATGTTCTAAACATGACATGAATGTTCTTAAAAATGTCAGGAATGTTTTAAAAATAACATGAATGTTCTAAAAAATGTCAGGAATGTTCTAAAAATGTCAGGAATGTTCTAAAAATGTCAGGAATGTTCTAAAAATGTCAGGAATGTTCTAAACATGTCAGGAATGTTAAAAAAACAGTCAGGAATATTCTAAAAATGTCAGGAATGTTCTAAACAGGTCAGGAATGTTCAAAAAAATTTCAGGAATGTTCTGAAAATGTCAGGAATGTTCTAAGAATGCCAGGAATATTCAAAAAATGTCAGGATTATTCAAAAAATGTCAGGAATGTTCTAAAAATGCCAGGAGTGTCCCATAATAATGACAAAGCTTGCAGGGAGTGGGCATACCGACCTGTCCTGTTCGTGCAGAGCGAAGGGCGTGGGCTGGCAGGGCTCCGCTTCGCGATCCTGCCAGCTCGTCGACACGAGGTTCTTGAGGTAGATGGCGCCCGCCTGTCTTACGGGCATGTCGCAGTCCGACATCATGATCACTTGGAGCAGCGACGGGGCGAAGCCGATGATCTTGTGGATCTGCGCAGAGAAAAAGGATGATCTTCCTACAGGGTGTTACTATGGTGTTGAGAGTGAAAATTTTATATTCATTTTTAAGATTGTGATTTACGTATCGAGTGCGAAGAATAATGTATTTTGGATAATAGACAAGATTATACAGTGACCAATTGAAGGCGCGCCACCCTCATGAATCTTTTATTTACATAGCGATTTTGATTAACACTGTTTGTAGGTTAATCGAGGAGGTGGAGCATTCATTTTGCTTGATTATTTGGGATTTTTTTCTCCTCGTTTCTTTAAAACTAGCTGTCTGGCCCGTCTTCGCACGCTTGATGTACCCATTAAAAAAAATAAGACACTTGGTGCAGTCGTTATGAGCTATGAGCGTATCTACATATTTGTTATTTTCAAAATCTTTGTGCTTGCCTATAGCTACTATTATATACTTACACCTATTTTCATTCTCTCAGTATCTTTTGTATTTTTTGTTTTTGTTTTACGAATTCAAAATTTCAACACAATCGATCAAGCCGTTTAGTAGTTGACGTTAGGGACAGCAGCGCCACCTACCGCGTCCAATTGTATTTTTAAATCAACCAGGAAACCATCGGAATACCCATACAAAATTTCAGCCTTCTAGAAGTTATGTCAAAAAGATAAGTACGAAAGAATTACGAAAGTATAAGTCTTACTACCTGTTGTTCTATTACCCGTTTTCCCGTACAAATGAAGCATTTTCCCTCGGTAAAAAGTAGCCTATGTTCATCAGGGATAATGTCGGCTTCTAACGGTGAAAGAAGTCTTCGAATCGGTCTAATAATTTCGGAGCCTATTCAATACAAACAAACATTCCTACGGGAAAACGGGTAATAGGACACCGGGTAGTGAGAATTATCCTTCCGTACTTATATTTTTCACACAACTTCTGAACGGCTGAACTAATACAATTCGACGCGGTAGGTGGCGCTGCTGTCGGTACGTCAACTACTAAACGGCTTGACCGATTGGCTTGAAATTTTTAAAGATATAAAATAACAAAAAATACTGAGAGAATGAAAATATATGTAAATTTATAATAGTAGACATAGGTGACCACAAAAAATAAAATAACAAAAAAATATGTAATGCAGATACGCGCATAGCTCAGAATGACTGTAAAAAATGTCCTATTTTTCTTAACCTGAGAATGGTCGCGCGTCAGTCTTTTCGACCGACGATTACCGAGTTCTGTTCTATTATTGTTATGTGACATTCTTTGCGTACCCCCACCTCAGTACCTTCCTGATTCACCATAGGCACAGAATTATTCTGTGCCATAGGCCTGCCTAAATTCCTCAGTCCAGCTATTTAGACACTGTAGTGCGACTGGGTGTGCAATCCGTCTATTCGACCGAGTAGCGACCGGCAGTGTGCCGTTTTATTTCCACATAAATTTCTTTGTGTTCCTACATGAATCTATAGATCTACAATGGCTGGTGCATATAAAATAGAAGTTAGAAGGCTCCAGAGGGTCTACGGGGAAGTCGATTCAGATGAGGAGCCTTTTGTATGGCTATGTTAGGCTGAGGCTGCTCACCCTTCCGTGCGTTTTCATTTTTCACTGTCTAGTATATGTGAAACAAAATCGGGAAAACTTCAGAACACACAGTGATTTTCATTCATATTCGACTAGGGGGGGAGGGAATCTGGTGCACAGGCTGCAACGTACTAGAAGGGGAACCGATTATTATGGCATCAAATTTTTCAATGCTCTACCGACAGATGTTAAGCAGCTAAATCTAAATAGCTTCAAATCTAGAGTCAAAAACTATCTCCTAAGAAACGCCTTCTATTCCCTCGAGGAGTACCTTGAGAGTGACTTAAGGACATTTTAGTTTTATATGTAAGACCTATTTTAATATGTAACACCTATTTTAATATGTAAAACCAATTTTAATATGTAAAATGTGTGTCGTTAAATTCACTTTTTAATTTTCAAGTATTTTTCTTACTATATTATTATCATTCAAACAAGTTCTATACTTTATATACCCTATTGACCTGTAAAAGCACTATGTGTTATACTTTACCAATAAATAAACTAAACTAAACTAACTTTTGTAGGTGGAGAAAGTGATTCTGAGATAGATCAAGGAGATGATATACTCGAAGAAAGTGTTCATTCAACTGACACAGAACAATCGGCTGGCCCAGAGATTGATTCTGATAGACAACCCAGCAAGATCACAAAACGATAAAAAAAAAACAACAAGATGCAATGAATGTAACAGATATATTTGCAGGGAACACACTGTGAGAAAATGCGTTCATTGTGCAGAAAATGACAGTATGCAGCAAGATTAGTTAGTCCTTCCTAGTATACTTAGTTAACTATTCCTGATTTATTATCCTTGTATGTTCGAATATAAGTTTTTGTACATTACTATAGTTCTATAAATATCATCCTATGAATGATATAATAAAAGCCACTTTAGTTCATTTTGGAAAACTTGTTTCTATCACGATAACAGCCGTCGGTCTAAAAGACCGAAGCGCGACCGATGACGTTAATTTTCGGCGTGCGACCACTCTCGGGTTAAATGGGTACACCAACCGTGCGAAGCCGGGTTGGACAGCTAGTTCTGACAATTAATTTTAAATCTTTCCACTGCTTTCTTGTAAACATGGCTCAGCCGAATTTAAAAAAAAAATAGAACGTTGTATAGAGATTTAAAATACCTTTCTGACAAGGTATAACTTGGCCATCTAAAGAATTTTGAAGAAGTTGATCAGTGGGCAGCAAGTTAACAGGGGGTTGAAAAAAATTTATGGAAGAAAAATATATTTTCAGAAATAAAAATCGGCCTGTCCGAGGATTTTTTAAAATATATTCCTGTTATTTACATACAAGTTTTATTCTAACATAGATTTCCACACTGTATTTGAAGTAAGAACCAATCAGATTTAAGCAAAGTACCATCAGCAAGTATTGTTTAAATTTCGGGTGAAAAAGATATTCCTCAAAAAAACAGTGGCGTGGCATAGGGCACCACTAGAATAATAAAACAAATTTTGATTGAATCAGAAAAACATAGGCTGAAGGACCTAGGTGGATAGCCAGTAGAATTGAGTAATAATGATTGTATATCATATGTATTCAATTCAATAAATAACGATTATTATTATTCATCAGAAAAACAGATATAGGGAAACATCCTATATAATGTTTGGTAAAAAGTTAAGTGTAAATAGCTCAAAGTAGGACGGAAAAAACTAATAAGTATCCCAATAACTTGGGACTTTATGGGTTTTTTTGAAGGGGCTCTAAAAGAACTAACCAAATATGGAATAACTCATGGAAATATTTACGATGTTGATATTTTTCTCTTATTCATGTCAATTATGATAATAAAATAAAATCTACAGGAGGGGGCAGAATAAAATTTGGCTTCATTCAGTGGTCTTCCAATTTTTTGTCAAAAAAACTGTATTACCTCCAGCTAGTGTTGATATTTGTATTCAAATCTCCTGGAATTTAGGCAGTGAATGTTTCACTTTTCACTTTGTTACAAAAATATCAGGTTGGGTAAATATTTTTGGGTTCTATGGAGGGATTCAAAAAAGATTTTGATTAATTGAGACAAAGAAAAGAATATAGATATTACGGGAGTGAAGTTAGCCACATCCACAAAATACACCGAGAAAAATTTATCGCCGAAAATGTGTTCAGCAATTTCACCCGATTTCAGATGGAACTTGAACGCATTTCATAGAACGACTGAAGAGGGGTGAGAGCCTGAGTCGAATTTGATAGGGAGGTGGTGAATCGATAGTTTATCAAGTCGTCTAAAGGGAAAGAAAAGGGGTTGAAAACGAAAATAACTCATTATCTCAGTGAATACTCGTTGTACATGGATTTTGAAGGCGACAAACGAATCTACTAATCGAATTTGATAGGAAGGTGGTGAACTCATAGTTTGTCAGGCCGTCTAAGGGGGTAGAAAAGGGGTTGAAAAACAAAAAAAATCAATATCTCCGTTAATATTCGTTGTACATGGATTTTGAAGGCGGCAAACGATTCTACTGATTGCATTTGATAGAAAAGTATTGAACTCATAGTTTGTCAGGCCGTCAAAGGGGGTAGAAAAGGGGTTGAAAAACAAAAAAAATCAATATCTCCGTTAATATTCGTTGTACATGGATTTTGAAGGCGGCAAACGATTCTACTGATTGTATTTGATAGAAAAGTATTGAGCTCATAGTTTGTCAGGCCGTCAAAGGGGGTAGAAAAGGGGTTGAAAAACAAAAAAAATCAATATCTCCGTTAATATTCGTTGTACATGGATTTTGAAGGCGGCAAACGATTCTACTGATTGTATTTGATAGAAAAGTTTTGAACTCATAGTTTGTCAGGCCGTCAAAGGGGGTAGAAAAGGGGTTGAAAAACAAAAAAAATCAATATCTCCGTTAATATTCGTTGTACATGGATTTTGAGGGCGGCAAACAATTCTACTGATTGTATTTGATAGAAGAGTGTTGAACTCATAGTTTGTCAGGCCGTCAGAGGGGGTAGAAAAGGGGGTTGAAAAACAAAAAAAATCAATATCTTCGTTAATAGTTGTTGTACATGGATTTTGAAGGCGGCAAACGATTCTACTAATTGTATTTGATAGAAAAGTTTTGAACTCATAGTTTGTCAGGCCGTCAAAGGGGGTAGAAAAGGGGTTGAAAAACAAAAAAAATCAATATCTCCGTTAATATTCGTTGTACATGGATTTTGAGGGCGGCAAACAATTCTACTGATTGTATTTGATAGAAGAGTGTTGAACTCATAGTTTGTCAGGCCGTCAAAGGGGGTAGAAAAGGGGTTGAAAAACAAAAAAAAACAATATCTTCGTTAATATTTGTTGTACATCGATTTTGAAGGCGGCAAACGATTCTACTAATTGTATTTGATACAAAAGTGTTGAACTCATAGTTTGTCAGGCCGTCAGAGGGGGTAGAAAAGGGGGTTGAAAAACAAAAAAAATCAATATCTT